TCGTTTCATTTCTCTTTTCTCCCAAAGCGTATAAAAAGCCCCCGAGTGTAGCCTCAAAGGACAAACAAGTTACACGCAAACAAGTTTCAACCCCCCCCCCGTTCGGTCACAACAACCCCCCCCCAAAAAAAAATGGCTTTGGATTCGCCTTTGTCTTTGAAACATCGTGGACCGGCATTTACTGCATCGATTTTACATTTTTGTCATTATGTTTTCCTCACCACCACTCACAGATAAACACCCAAGATGGCAGTTTGATAGACGCATTACCATGATTACTCAACAATGGATAATATATTCATATCATCCGCTTCGTGCAGAAGCAAGTTACCAGAGCCAGTCCCAACCGATATATTGACAAAGTGTGCAGCTGTGAATCTACTTTTGGATATCTCGGCTGAGTACCTGTTGCCTTCGCGGACAGACTCCTCAATGACAGCATCTAACATTCTGGTCTTGCCTATGCCTGCCTGGCCGTCAAATATGATGACTCGTCGATGTTCTCCTCGTTCCCTGTGCTCCTGAATCATCTGCAGCTCCTTTGAGAATACTCCCATTTCTTTATCACGACCTAAGATTCGAGCAAATACACTCAATTATAACGCAAATTTTGGGGTCACTGTTTCATTTTCAGAAGACGAGGTGGCCGAGTGGTTAAGGCGATGGACTGCTAATCCATTGTGCTCTGCACGCGTGGGTTCGAATCCCATCCTCGTCGGGTGTAGTTTTTTTTGGGGGGGTGAAGGTCTCTCATGCATTAAATTGGCATGGCGTTCCATCTTTAGAGGATGTAAGGCAAGAAATTCTTTGCATTTAAACTTTCAGGTGCAGTGAATTATGTCTGATTTAATTCTGCATTTAAAAGTTTGAAATAACGTCATAATTTCAGTTATTATTTGCTCCTTTGGTTACGGTAAAGGAATGTTAATCAGTTCTGCTCCCCTCACACAGCTTCAAATTTCATCCTTATCGAAACGCCATGTCCCTTTTAGTTGCTGGTTTGGGATAAACGTCCGACTCTTACAAATGAAGTACGCAGTCGAAAGCAATTCTTTCCCTTGGCGCTTTAAATTAATTTTTGTTTAATTAAAACGTAAACAAATTATATAAGTCTCGTGGACAAACCATAAAAATAAGATATTGAAAACAGTTTCCTTTTTAATTCAAATATTCCCCGTATCTTTTGCCTTGGTTGTTACGTCTTATGTTACTTTAATGTATTCAAATTGTTTTCGAAAATACTGTGTTTAGTAGATGTGAAATTAAAACTCGATAAACATTTCTTACCAAGTAACGGGAATTCAAACTCCGGCACACTGCTTCCCACTATAATCTCGGACCTACCACATTAGCAAAAACAATATTAACACGAGCAGGGTGCCTCAAATAGACCTCTTTCTTTTCACACCAAAGTCGTAGGTGTTGCCTTTCAGTGGTTTCCAAAACATGGCTGTCCGTCAGTAACACATCAAAAGGGTATTAAAACTCCAAAGCTATAAGAATACCGGTATAATTACAACACAAGGTGAAGAGAGCTTCCGTCCTAATAGTTACCAACAATAGGTCACTTGGGAGACATTCCCATAGGAACGTGCACAAACTTTTTCAAATTTTACCGTCCCATAATTCAATATTCCCTAATCTGATCTTAACCAAACTTTGCATGTTTTCCTTTCAGACCCTAATCTGTCATCTGTCAAAATGTAGACTGTAAAAATTTTCCTCCTTTTGGTAGTTGGAGCATTAGGGAGACATTGAAATGTCCTCCTAATGACCGATGTCTCCCTAATGTTGAAAAGTTACCACAAAATGTCTCCCAAGTGACCTATTTGGAAATACAAATGTAACGAGAAAAGAGGGGTGTTTTCTGTCGAAACTTGTACCCCCCAAAAGGCGAACTTTGGCCTCCCATACAAACACTCCGCTATTTGAGGTCTACAATTTTCGTGACGGAAAATCACGCAGTAATTTCTGTGAGGGGCTTTAAAAAGATATTAGATAAAAAAATCTCAAATATAGAGAGAAAACTTCTACTATATATTTTCTCTTGAAGTTAAGTACTGTTTGTGAATTCTTAATTTCGTAGACAGAACTGGTTCATTGTATCACGGATAAATATACTTTCTCACATACGAAATGTATCCAAAGGAGGAAAGTTTTCACTAGGTTGAGTTGAATAGAGTTATTGCGCCCGCTAAATTACATGACTTATAGTGGGGTTCAACCCCATAGAAACGTGTGTTTTGAGTGTAATTTACAAACAATACAGCCAAGTTACAGTAAAGTATCCAGCACATAGGTGGTCTGAGTACTGTACCTATACCATCGATTTTATTTTTTGTAAAAATTAATGATACTTGTGAAATGTTTTGCTTTTGGTGGACGCCATGTTTGTTTATATCTAATACCCAATATAGATCACGTGACTTAGCAGACCCAATCGGTCCATTGTGGATTGGCAAATGTTGTATTTGAGCGATCGGTTCAACAAAGCACGGCTCTGAATTCTTACTGTTCTCCTTCCACGAATTCCTGGATAACACCAGCATTGCGGACACCTTTCATCTCCTTATGGGGGAGTTCTCGGAAGAAGTGCCTGGCGAGCTTGGAGTGATGAAAAGTCTCGGGATCACAGGAGACCCTGCCCGGGTAATGCATCATCAGACGGGCAGCCATGTTGACTTTCCTCCCAATAACTGGGGTGACAATCAGAGGAATGGTGCTTGTTTTACGTTACCTCCACAACTACACACTACTTTCCCAAAAACTACACTGGAAAAAAATGCAAGAGAAGGTTTGCTCCGGCCCAGCATGCAATTCCGGTTTTATCTAACAAAATTTATCCGAACCCCGGTACATGCACACCAACCTGACCTACCGCAAACCAACTCGACCAAGTATCTCCTCCTAAGTTTTTCAGGCAAATCTTCCATAATTTTGACTTACTTTAGGGGGGCGGGTCATTGGGCTATGTCCGAATCGGCACTGTTTCACATATCTCGATAGTGCACGGAATTTGCAAAAAACAATCGGTCGCCGCACGATTTTAGACTTGAACAGCGATTTTCGTGTCCGTCAAGAAAATGTGGTACTGCTTCTCTTCTTCGTGATTACTGCACGCCTGACATTACCTTAAAAGTTCCGTCACGTATTTGAGAAATTTTTGAGACTGAGGTTAAGTATGTGGTGTGCTCACTACTTGACGGTCTCTTTGAATGCAAATTAAATATCTGTCACCAAAAAAATGAGTGTTAAGGAACTGCTGTATAATTTGGCCTAAAATAACAGCTAGAAGATCAATCTTAACTTTCTTTCTAATACAGGACAGATTAGAAAAAAATCTTACCCGTATACTCATGTCTGTGGACGTGACCAATCACGCCACAGAATGTCGACCCGGTGGTAACGCCGATCGACGCTTGCCTGCACAAACAAAAATTTTATTTTGAGATGTCTCCCTCCATACCTCATAGCTCTTGTTTCACAAAACTCCCACAAAAACGCAAGTCATGCTCACGTGACATTAGGGGTTGCTTTCAGGTGTTCAAGAAGACGGTAGGAACACTGAAGTGCGCGTGCGCAGTCGTCCTCGTGTTTGTACCCAGGAAGACCAAATATGGCAAGAAAAGTGCATCCCTAAAGATGAGCAAAGTATGTCAGTTAATATTAACAAAACTTTTACCATTAAACTGTTCCTACTCTCCCCCAAATAAATTCATCAAATACTTGTCACATGTCGACGCTTAAATACATTTTATTTAAAAAAAAAGAGTGGACTGAATAAAAAACATATCAATCATACCTTGTCAAACATGAAAACTTTGTTCACACAGCCTGTAAAAGGGAGAAAAAAATGTCCATTTTCAACCATGCCGTAGCTGAGTTTTGTTTTGGCAAATTCGATAGAAATCAAATTAAAAACTTGTTCAGTTATATTGAGACCTACATGTCCTCTGTGATGTCAGGACAATCTGTCTTGTGTATATATTTATAAAATACGACGCGCCATAGTTCTTACTCCAAAATGAGTAGATAAATAAAACTTTTAAATGTCTTGGGGAAAAAAGAACACTGCAATGGCTTCTGACATCGATACCTTGGTACTCTTTCATGTCGTCGTAGACCACATTGAAAGCTGTATGAAGGTTTCTTCTCTCGGTTTCATGGTCTGATGACGTCACAACTAGGTTGATGAAGACCACGCTGACCTGTCTCATCTCCGATAGATATTCCAGCGGTAGACCGTCATCAATCTACTAACACAGACAAATCTTGAGAAAAATCGCTTGTGCTGCGGGACCAACCCAACTCTGCTCAGGCTAACCATAATCATCAGCGTAGTTTATACTAAGCCAGGCTGCATTTTATCACTTTTTAAGGGAAAGTGTCTGATAATTTGATGGTTTAAAATGACAACTGATTCATCATGGGTGAGTGTTGTTCTTCTACCCACATCGCTGGTAAACTTTTTCTGTCTAAATGAGGAACCATAAATCTTTTTTATATTTTCCAAAATATAGAGGTTGCATTTGTCTTAGCTTAGCACGGGGTGGATTACCTTTTGTAGAACTGGCTTGATGATGTACATGCGCAGTCGGGCTTTTTCATCGTCGGTACTTGACCGGAAGGCAGACTCGCGCTCTGCATTACACAAACACAAAATAACCAAACAAATGCCCGTATTTACTTTATCTCATTTATTCAGTTAGCTGTATAAATAATACAATTACTGCTCTTTCGCCCAGGTAGGGGATCACTCATGTATTCACAAGTCTTGGGAAAAAATCTTCTCAGCTTTTGAATGTAATGTTGTGGGTGCTCGATAAAAGTGATTCTTAATAACGTCAGATCGAAAAATAGAAAAGGATTGCGCATTGTATTCACGATCAACTTGCAAACAGTCTTGATATTTTAAAAGTAATAGTAAATAGTTATTTAACTGATTTGTCATCAATGACACTGGAAACGGGACTGTGGTATTCGCAGCATTAGCACTAAAATCATTTCAAGGTCATCAGGTCGACAGCGTTGTGAGTGTTTCTTCGTTTTTAAAGACAAATTGAGTTATTGCCATCTGGATATCATGGTAAAATAAAGCACTTAACCGGAATCAAAAAGCAGTCTGTGGTTGCCGCCCTGTTCAGATTGTTTGAGTGGTCTACAGTGGAGGTCATAGTTATATTTGCAAGAAGCACGGGGCGCTGAAAAGGAAGTGTTTGTGACCTCAACAAAATGGATAACACCAACATGGCGAATAACTACACCAGACCAAATAGATTAATTTCTTCGAAGCGCATGCCAACTTACTCCTGCCTACTGCGTCTGAGTAGTGTTCGTCTGATGAGGACGGCTTGGAACACGACAACCTCATCACTGTGACACTGGGTCCAGCTGAACGGAGCAATCATGAAAGAGTGAATTTATGATGGAGTTGAAGTCATTGTATAAAGTATGCCCAAGACGAGGATGTTGGCACCATTGGCATCATCGTTTTGGTTCACTACCGTAAACATTATTAGCGAAATCTCGCTGAGAAGACCGTCCAAGAAGACCTCTATTATACCACAAGCTCAGGGCCCTCCATCTTACCAGTAAGGTTGTCACCGCTCTTCCTTGTGTACTGATTGCCGTAACTGAGATCGATTCTGACATCAGGTTGGTCGATAGGTTCGGCTAGTATTGACAGAACCTGCCGATTAAGCAACGACCACCAACAATGAGAAATCCGTTCAAATAAAATGGTAAAGTTTAATGCTGATATCGTTGGTATTCTTCCTGGAATGACATCACATTTCTTTTTCATAAATATTCAATTGAGCATTGCGCATAAAGATGAAAAGAAACCGAAATACTCTTAAAACAAAAAAATGGAAATTGAAACAAGATTTAAAATGGGACACAAAGTCGCATTTTCAAGAACTGCACTGAGAATTATTCTGCGTGAGCCCCTTGCCGGAGTCTAAATGACTCCCTGCTTATAGAGGGAGGGAAGATGCAATCGTAGTTAGTCGATCCACCCCACCCCTTTAAAGTTTTCCGAAATGTTCCGATTCAATGAATTATGAAGGGGAACAGAGGCCTAACGACCGACCGAGATATGCCTGCGGTCCTCCAACACTCGGTACTCTATGAATTGATGGTCCGGCGTGTAGGCCCACGCCTTGGGCGACAGCACCAGTGAGCCCGAGGTGGCAAACTTCTCGGCCTTGTTGGCATCGTCGACGGCCAAGCCGCTGAGAACGTAATGGCGAGATTCCTCGTTGCCTACCGTGGTGACGCGAACCGGACCCAAAGACACACCTGAAGAGGACAACAGAGTGAAGTCGGCCTTTCAATTCCTGAGGAATGAAACTTTTTTGGATTGGCAGAAAAACGGGAATTTTTTTCCAAATGAGATCCCCAAAATACCCAGTCTCCCCCCTTGAAATTGGTTCTTCAGAAAGCAGATAACTATTAGCAATTTCAGTCCAATAAACCTTATTAACTCCACTGATCAAAGACCCAGTCACTTCAACAAATTCTCCCGTCTGCCTTAAACGACAGGCAAAGTACAAACAAGACCAACATCGTAAATTTGGCCAAACATTTACGCTTCATTCTTCAAAATACAAATTCCTGATAACCATCAATCTTGATGTTCATTGTCGTGGGTTTGCATTCTTGATCGGTTCAGTTTTTTTTTTTTATGGATGTACATTTTACATGATTGTATCCCGTCATCAACGAAGACCGCGTGGCCTAACGGATAAGGCGTCCGACTTCGGATCGGAAGATTGAGGGTTCGAATCCCTTCGTGGTCGTCTATAATAGGTTTTTTTTAATTCGGTCTCATATTTTGTCGTCGAGAAGAGTTGTACATGGATGGAATCATTCGATTCCCAGATTAATACTCGTCCGTTAAAGAACTTTGGTTTAATATAAAACAAAGCTGGAATCCAAAATCAAATTCATGCAGATCTGAAGGTAATCGTAGGTCTACAAAGTGACTGGGAACCTGTTACCCACTGCCACGAGGTGCAATACTTTTTCTCTTGGGCACTGGGATCGGATTCTATATTTCTGTAAGACCCAATGGAGATTGAATGGTTTAACTTCATTATTATGGGTACCGAGGTATTAATTTAGGTACCTCCAAGCAGTTGCAAGGGGAACGAAATATGTTGACTGGGAAAAAGGCGCTTTTTCTACCGCCACAACGCGTCACAAAGTCACTCATTTGGTGGATACGCGGCCAAAGTCGTGGATATTTTAAGATTAGGCCTACCTAGTTTGACACGAAGCTTGACGCCAACCTCGGTATCTCTATTGTCGCATCTCTCCTGGATTCGTAGCCCACACTTGATGACTCTCATAAGAGTGAAGTCCAAGTTGTCTCGCTTCAGCTTCCACAGGGCCAAGAACGCGTCTCCTATGCAGTAATGGGGGAAGAGAGAGCGAATCATCCACTGTGACTGAGCTGCCTGGGATTACTCACCGTGACAGGGCTGTATATCTGCCGAGAGCAGAAACCCCCTCATCGGTTGAAAAGAGCTGCTTTGGTCGGGTGTGTTCAATTTGTTGGTAGCGATGCGACTGTGACGTGTGCTTTTCCTAGTCTTTCGTGAACCAGCAAAGGTCATTTCTGACCAAAGGAGCCGCCTTTGGTAAGAAAATAGCGCCCTCTCTTGGCCGAGCTCGAGGCCCATAAAAGGACAGTTTCCCATAAACACAGAGCGTCCTATTTGTTACTGCAACACACATGTATTAATTTTGGGGTGCATTCACTTTTATGTAATGCAGAAAAATGTTGTAGGCCTGATGACATGCCCAATCACCACGTGTTAATACCTAAGGCCGTGTCCGAAACGGGCTTCTAGAGCTGCGACTAGGTCTACTGTCTGCGCATCTCCAAGTATTTCCAATGGATTGAAAACCTAGACCTACCTCTAGACAACAGATTCGGATTCAGCCGAAGACATGGAGGTCGCCTACGTTTAAATAGCAATGACCCCTTTTACTAGCTGTATCAGATTCATTCATTATTACTAGTTTTCCGTTTGTCTTCATGGGCAGTCCCTGTAGCGCAATTGGATTAGCGCGTTGGACTTCTAATTCAAAGGTTCCGGGTTCGAGTCCCGGCAGGGATGATGCGAAGCTTACTTTTTCTTTGTTGGCTTTTAAACAAGAGGGGAGTTCCTTATGGCATGTGTGTGTCACTTATATTCTGGTTAGAAACTCCCAGAATTATTCATTTCTTAAGGGCATCACATCGGTGCATTAAATAATGAGGCTGTTAATCAATTTAGTTTTTCATTTTTACACCGATGCCACAGTAGTATGAGATTGAAATGCGTAAAAAAGATGAAAAACTCAACAAACTCGCTTGTACACAAGGTGGGTGAATTTAACACTAAGAAACTGAGTTGTTTGTCTATACCAATTCATAAAGGTAAAAGTAAGGCTAATAACACCTTCTGGAAACCGAGATCGATTCACACCAGACTACCCTGCAAAAAATATGACAGCTGGCAAGTAATCTCGTTTTCTCTTCAGAAAAATCATTTCTCAGCTGCGTCTCAACTTTTTGTGTGTTGCATGTACTCTTTACTTGTATGTGCAAGTAAAGAGCGCCATTTACGACCAACATCGTCGATTTTTTTCACCATTAGTGACAAAAAATAGTTCTTTGTTGAATGAAGGCATGGTCTACGTTTTGTTTTTCGTTTGTTTAATGGGGTTTGTTTGTTTCTAGTTATCTTCCACAACAAGACTCCATCGAAGTCTATGAAGTGTGAGTTTTCATATTGTGTCATTAGGTCTGCATTTCCGACGTCCCTGTGGCGTAATTGGATTAGCGCGTTGGACTTCTAATTCAAAGGTTCCGGGTTCGAGTCCCGGCAGGGATGGTGCAGCCTTTTTTTTCTTCCCCAAGGGTGAGTCCCTTGTGGCGTGTGTGTCACTTGTGTTTTCCTCTGGTATCAAGTCCTAGAATGGGACATGTATTAAGGGCATCACATCAGTCCGTTAAATGATTAGGCTGTTTGTTATTTTTTTCTTTTTATATATATTTTTTGCATGCTAATGCCACAAGACTACGTGATCGAATGGGCATAAAAAGAAGAAAGGTTAATTTAAAAAGAATAAACTCGCTCGTACACAAAGGAGTGTTGTCCAGGTGGGTGAATTTAACACTAACAAACTAAACTGTATGTCTATGTCACTTCAGAATCGAATCTCACGACACTGCCATGCAAAAAAAACACTTGACAGCTGGCAAGTAACCCCGCTTTTCTCTTTAAAAATATTTGTTGCCCTCCGTCTCAATTTTGTGTGTTACATGTATACGAGGGGAAAAAATGCCATGGAAGAGCAACGTCGTTGAAGTTTTCCACCATTTGTGGCAAATTAGTTCTTGAATGAAGTTAACGGTCTAAGTTTTAATTTTGTTTTGTTTGTTTGTTGGTATCTTGTTTGTTTTTAATTATCTTCCACAGCAAGACTCTGTCTGAAGCCTATGAGTTTTCATATTGTGTCATTAACTTCACATTTCCAACGTCCCTGTGGCGTAAATGGATTAGCGCGTTGGACTTCTAATTCAAAGGTTCCGGGTTCGAGTCCCGGCAGGGATGAGGTTTTTTTAAACATTTATTTTTCAATTTATACGTTAGCGGCATTCATATTTAAGGTTTTTCTAAATCCAAACCTGCAAATTTAAGAATATCTCCCTCAGACCCGATGATATTCTCCACGATGTCTCCAATGTAACTATTGAGGGCAGCAGACAGTTTTTCTGCTCCGCAGCTGTTACGTGAACTCATGCTGTAGCGTTCAGTTAGTGCGGTAAATCCTTTAGAAAAAAAGTTGAATGTTGGAATCAACAGCCAGAGCTATCTTTGTAAGCTAAAAGTGAATTGACATATAGAAAAGTGATGACTTGATCCAAATAAGGTAATAGTAAAAGCAATATCAACAACGAATTCTTTACTAACTCTTGAACCCTAATATCTCCATTTGACGGCGGGACCTTAAAGTTGGGGCACGTAGAAGTGTAAATTAAGAAAAAAATCCGAATTATTACGGCCGGCAAAAACTGCCCAAGGAAACCACTCACAGTGGCTCGATCTGTATTTGGTAACACCATGTACTGCCCGATATTTGGGATGCGGCCTTGTCCTTACTTTAGTTATTTGGTGGCATAGTTTCCTAATGCAGTTGGCCCTCGGACTACACAAACACTTTAGTTTTTATTGCTAACCTGAAATGTCGGCAAACATGAGGATGCCGTCAAATTTCTGGCTGTGAGGAAGAGATTTTATTTGAATTCCTTCCATCACCAGGTCAGGGACGTGTGTCGCCAGTTGATTTACTGGAAAACAAGAAAAACATCAAGATTGCCATACTGGGAAAATGGAACAATAGAGGGATCCCAATACGACGCTTTTAGCGTCGGTCTGCGCATTTCCGCGTTTGAAAACGAGGCTGTTGTGTTAGCTTCAATTCTTAATACGATTAGACGATGGAAAGTAAGGAGTCAAGACACAAAATACATAAAGGTATGTTAAATTAAGACTTTCCAGGCTTCAACTTTTTTTGGAAGAGTCTTTCAGGATGACTCAACACGTAAAATCAAAAGAAAAAATAACGGCAGTTTACCGCGAACTAACGTACCTGCGATGGTCGTGTATCTTGTGCAGTGGGCGTGGTTTAAACTGAAGTGGCGCCACACTTACGAATCGGATACTGGATGTACTGTGTCGAGTCGGCGGGCTCGCACGAAAAAGTTTAACACGGAGAGCCTCGGTTTCGATGCGGATATGCGCAGATGGAGCTAATGTAACATCCCTCTATTACACCGGCCGCGCCGGGTCTGAGGATAGGCAGCAACCTCAATTCCATGGGTTTCGTGCGCGTTCCATGGTGGGAACCAGCGGTTTTAAGCGCAATAGTAATTGGTGCTTTAACAAAGGGTTTATTATAAGAATTCTTGGCAGTAGAATATAAAGCAAAACAATGAAACAGCATGACGTAAAAATAACAAAATAAAGGCTTATTATAATGGGCAAATGCGTACGGAGACAATAAGGCCTATTTCTTAAACTGGTCAATTTTTGCCAGATGCCCGATAGCCTGTATAATTTCATGCAAAGGTTACCAGTCAAAATCGACCGTTGGTTAACCATTCAAATTCAAATTAAAACAACATTTATTTTCATACTTTCATTAAAACACGAATCAAGAATACACGTAAAATAAATACGAGCCATGAATACAATGTAATATAATTAGAGAAAATAGAGGGAACTTTAACAAATAGAAAGTATGGAGCTGTTCACGTAAGCGACGGCTTGTAGAAAACAGGCTATAGACAGACAATAGGACTAGGGACAAAAAACACAGAAAACAGACAAGAGAAAACGCGACAAACAGTGAAGACTAGACTGAACATCCAAAACAGAAATAAAGAGTTGAAGATCATGAAAATGAGCAGTAACATGAATAGATACAGGAGTAAAGGCGAGATAAAGAATGAAATAAAGGAAGACATTGTCTAAGGATTGGAAGCTATGTAACATATTGTGAGAGGAGAGCTCTTTTGTAGGAGGACTTGAAGCGGCCAACGGACGGCATTGTTCTGATTTCGCTTTCAATGGTGTTCAACCGACGGGGACCATAGAAGCGAAGAGTAGAACTAGAGTACAGGGTGCGGGTGAATGGAACATACAAAGTGTGACGGGATCAAGTGGAATAACCGTGCGTATCGTTGATTTAAGAAAAAAAGAGAAGCTGATGGGCAGAAGATTATGTGTGAATTTGTAAATAAAGATACCAGTGACGTATTTACTTAAGTCGTGAATAGCAAGAGTATGTAACCTTCCAAACAGAGGTGCAGAGTGCTCCTGGTCGAATTTACCCAATGATAATAGGCCTACTTGCCACATTCACATAAATTCTACATCTGAACCTCACCGTATAAGTCGGATAAGTCCAAAACTTACCCGTTCTTTGTGAAAAAATCGCATTTGACTCGTGAAAGAAGAAAATGTCAGCTAGGCTTAAATTGATTTTATAAGTAATGATGAAAAAATGCATAGGGGCCTACACAAAAGGACTGTTTCGTGAAACCAAACTCACCTGTCATTCTGATTTCTCAAACGTTGCAACAATAATCTCAACAAAAGGCTTTATTTACCCCGGCACACCTTGCTGCTGGTTTAAAAAACAGACAGTGTGTCAGATGGCACTTTTACAAGCAAGAAAGTGATCTGAAAAGAAATTTTACAAAAAAGAAAAACCAAACTAAATTCTCCACTGTTCATGCCTTGCATTACATGTATCGAGTGTTATATTGTTTCATATTGTGCTTTTTATTACTTTCAGTTATGTCTGTGAGCTTTGTTTGCTTGCAGAACACGCAGACGCGCTGTACCTATTCACAGAGGGCGCCATTTCTCTGTGCTTGCGCATTATGCGCATGATGCGCAGTCATCCACTTAGGCTGCATCATATAGCTAGGTCCGGGTCTTCCCTCCATTGGAAATGCGTGGAGACGCGTAGACAATAGACCTAGCCGAAGCTCTGGAAGCCCGTTTGTGACGGCCAAAGAATTGTCCAGCTCCTCGGCGCGGCGCTAAACGATCTTTGGTGACAACTTGCGTATGCTTAATTGTATGTCACAATGATGGCACAAAAAGTAGCGTTAAAAGATACGGTCCATCATTTTGTGCATAATGTTCCAGTGAGGCAACAAAATTACTAGGAATCTAAAGAAAGTTACCTACTGAAGACAAACTTGACGAACTGTCAGTTCAGTGAATACTATGCCGAGAAAAATAGTATAGTTGATTGTATTCTAGGATTTCGATTTCAGATCGAAAGTTATGTTTTGAATTGCGCCCATGGAGCTATATGTAGCTCATTGATTGCGCCTTAATTCGGCGTCTGGGACACGTTATTTATATAATACCTGCATAAAGATCTATCATCTGATCGGTGGATCGTTGATCATTAAATTATTCGTTCTTTTTAACGGGTAGGGCCTACAATTGAATAGAGCGTCATTTCACTTGTCTGGTTCCTGCCCTCAGTTCATGTGTTTCCCCGGATGTACATGTATTTCATTCCAAAGAGGAAAGTAATATAGGCGGACAGGAACCAGTATAACATCGCACAGTACCACCAGTGCGGTGGCTGCGCTTCGGACACAAATCTGCCGCTTAATCGCAGACATTAATTAATTTGTTCGCCTAACAGAAGACGACATTATGAGGATTTATGCAGTTTGTTTCACATTTGTGCAATGGTGAAAAAATTTCATTCTGTGATAGATGAAATGTTCCATTCCACTCGCTTTCGCGTGCCGTGTCAACGCTCGCACCTGCTTCGAATAGCAATTTTACCAAAATGCGTCTTTACACAAAAACTGAGGTGTCTTGACCCAGGGAATTGGATGCTAGGTAACAAAGCGCCCTCCTTTCCCCACTGACCCCATAAAAGCTTAAATAAAACACAGACTCACGGGGATAGTGTCTGATTATTTCTTCTGACATTTATTGCTGACTTAAAACCGTGCCTGTACTGTATGGGTGACACAAAGTGTACATAGGCTACAGAATAACTAGTGTCACATCACTCAGAAAACAAAAAAAGGTCCATGACAAGGGAATAGAAATGTAGGACATTTAACTGAAAGACATCCAGTAGAGAGTCAGCTGATTGATGGTAGAGTTTGTGGCAAAATGTTGTGAAAATGGTATCACATAAAGCCAGAAAGCGGAATACGGAAAGCACGATCCAACAAAAATGTACAATATTCAGTAACATTTTAGCTCAAATTTGATTCCAGAGATTACACGTGATCGAATGAAACTATTTCTTTTAAAGTAAACGTTAGTCTTCATTGTTGTTATGCATGAACTGATGCATTACAAAGTACGGTATTTATTTTATTTTCCATGATCTTATCAAATAAAATAACACAATACTGTTTTAAATAGCACACTCAAGCAGTTCCCTTTTTTCGAACAGGATGACTTTGACTTACATTTAATGAAAATGCAAGGACACTTCTAATAAGGAAAAAAAGTTGGCATCATTTGGGTGTAATAAGAATACATGTACCTTCAATTATAAAGAACAAATATTTTACAGTGTGTGATCAAATAACTACAGAGTAAAAGTACCAAACGCATGTTTCTCTGCACAAGTCTTTCACGCATGCCCAGCTACGTCATTAACGGTTGCTGTCTAACACCCGTATTGTGCTTAATGTCACGAATAAGGAACAACAGAAATTCTTAAACTCTGACGATTTAAATAATGAACCAAATTCTGCTAGGATTTCTGCGGCTTCCTAGCATCAAATTCGCCGCATCATCAAGCTCAGCTGTTCTCATACTATAAAGGCCAGATATACATAGAAGTCAACTGAATACCCTGTTTGAACGGCTCATACGCAAACCCAACTAAAACGTATACGGAACAGCACAACCCTAGGCACACGGTCCGGTACAGCACAATTCTCTGTGCTTCTCGGTAGTCTGAGCCACTCGATCCGTGGTAGAGTGCAGCGAATAACACCGTGTCATATGATCAATTGTAAATTTATATCTAATTATCGGCAATTTTCCAGGATTAAAGGAATCCAGTTTTCACAAACCTTGCAATGTTTTAGAAAGCGTCTGCACATTGCAAGTAATAAGACATAAAAAATACTCGTTACCACCTTGCCTGCCACTCACGATGACTGAACAGAACTAAAGGACGTTAATGTTAAACCTTTCGTCAGCTCCAATTGAAAGTGCAACACCATTCACTGATGAGTTCCAGGTAGTGTGCAGTTTCGTTTCTCGTGCGGAGATTTATAAACCAATTTAAAAACCATTTTACAGTTGTCCCGCCCTTTCATAATTTCACAAATCTAAATGTTGATAAGTCTTAAGATAAACACTGGAATGCATAGATAGAGTTAAACTACGTTCTGCTATACACTATGTTACTAGGATGCCAAGATTTTATCGGTGGCTGACGATGACACGGAGGTAGCCACTCTGGATATACGCCTATCATTAATATTACAAGGACAGGATTTTTACAATAATTTAAAGACTTGTGGAAGTACATACATAGTGTAGGCCCTATAGCACTTGATGCCACAAAGGTGCTTTATGAACAAATTCCAAATCAAAATAGCACCAGCTACGGGCTTATAGCAACTCTGTAAAAAAAAAGCCGAAGTACTTGGACTGCACTTTATCCTACCGTCTCTTTAAAGAAAGTTTACAATTCTTCACAGTTGTCAAGTATCGACATTACCATAGTTTTAAGTATAAAAGGAACCTGACTATAAACATCTGGACATTACCCCAATAATGCGTACCCTAATATACAATATTGGGGGGAGGGCAATAAAACTAGATTGACCAAGACCGTAAAGGTCACTGGACAAAGAAGTGAAATATGTGCCATTATCTCATTAAAAAAACACTTCGTGTGTTTAGAACAAACAGAACTTATTTTTGTGTATGAAATGGGTGCTGAAATAATATTTGTACAATTTTTTCACGAGAACTGTAACGGTGGAGGGTATAATAAACGCACAGTAAATAAACGGCAGTTTGTATCAACGGGGCATCATTTTGAGTCTCTGTTCAAATAAAAATCAATTAATCGAGACGATGGAGTGATTGGGTTCGGGCCAAAAACACCAGAAGGCTTGAGTATTAAGGTAAATATCCCCAAAGACGTTTACAACAGGTGGACTCTTGGAGTTATACTCCCAAGAGCGATAATTTGTCTGCCTCAAATAATCAGAATTCATGAAATTCTAGAGAACTGTTGGGGTATACAAGATTGTTACATATATCTGGGTGCTCTGTTTTTCTCAGCATTAACTCTAATCCTCAAGCTAGAAAGTCTGTGTTATTTGCTTCTCATCCAAGGTAGGGCTAAATGTAGTTTAGACAACTCTTGTATCACTGGTATGCAACACGCGCAGCTGATGAATATGGTTCATGACTTTTGAATAATAGCATACTTGCTGTCATCAGATAATCATGCCATGTTAACAAAGAGGCAATTTTTAACTTGTGTAAATATTTTTTGTACAGCTGGTCAGTGGTTCATCCCATAAATACTTTGATGCTGGGTCAGACAGTCTTCGGTTATTCAAAGAATGATACTGTTGGTTCATTCACAAGACAAGCCAAAAACCTTTTTCATACGTAACATGCTCTACTTTTGTAAGTTTTATACAATCACACAATTACCCACACTACATGATGGGTGATCAATACAAGTTCTTATTAAAAATATCTATTTATGTGAATTGACACTGATTTAAGCTGAAATATATAAGATCATGAAGTACAACACATTGTTTTCTCAACATCCAACAGTTGACAGATTTACATATTTTTTGTCTATTTTTTATAGTTTTTATACAAAATACATTCAAATTCACATTTCAAAGAATATTTCATTATACTATCAGGAAATTAAATGTATAAGTTCAATAAATCATTATGAAATGGGAATACATGTAATAATCCAAATAATTTTATACTTTAATTTAAAAATGAACAGGCATTTATAAACAAAAGGTATACTTTGATACATTTTTTTCGAGATTCTGTTTCCATGTAGACAGAAGCAATACTAGAAAAGGAGGATATTCCATTTTATTCCTGAAATGAATATTTAATAAACTATCCGGCAAGTACATATTCAAGTTCATAATCAACTACTGTCCATCAATGAATCTCAATTGAATATATGCCAATTTAAAGCTATTGGCTACTGTGACAGTGGCTTTATCACTCTACATGTTGGCTTTAAAGATGTCTATTATCATTAAATTTGCAATTATAAAAAAATGACATTTCAAAACATTCTTGATCATCGCTAAATTGCTGATTTGAGTTGCTTGGAGTACTTATCAGGCATGTATTATCAACCAAAGAGGATAACTTTAAATAATTATGTTTTTCTTTGTTGCAGTCTTAAAATCAATTAAAAAAAAAAAGTCAAGCACATCCTGGTTTTTCCATCACGCACACTTCTGATGCTCGATGCTCTGGGGCAATTTCTTGGCACTTGTAAGAAAATAATGATTTCTATCATCAGGCAAGTTTTGATAAGTTCCCAAGACAAAAACCATGCTTGCCTCAGTGTTGGATATTTGTTTATTGAGGCAAAAGCCATTAATTTGAATGGTTGACAGAGTATGTTTACATCTGTTGATGCAACTTATCACAGGATTCCTTGAAAATGTCTCCAGAACTTACCAACTTTACAAAACATTTCAGAAATCAACCAAAACACAAACATTGGCACAATCGAATAGAAGTAACTGCAAGAAAATCCAACAGATACAGAAAATTGCTTTGTTAAAATCTATCACCTCTAGTAATCACTCCACTTCGTGCCCTGCTGGCATGAATCCAAATGCAAATTGTGTGGCAAAAACAATGTTTGCATCAGAGGTTACTCAAGTTGAAATTCAAAGTGAGTTATATTCCAAGCACATCAAGCCATTATGAAGCCAGAAACGAGATCATCAGGGAAACAAGTATTTCCACATTCAAAAGTTGTCCACTTTTTAGGAATATAAGTTTTCGGCATAAAAACAAACCATCATCGGTAAGGAATGACTTGAAAGTGCTTCTAAGGACCCCCCATGGACAAAAACTGCATTTCTAAACAACAAATAAACTGTACAGTTGAAAAAGCTGGTGATACAGCCATTCCAGGATAGCACAAAGGAAAACATATCTGCGGATAGGAATTCAAAGTTACACAAAAAATTACAGTCACATTATTATAACCCGGTAAGTGGCAAGTATTTAATATAATCTACTCACCAATAGAAACTCTATCCTATTTCCAATTTATATTTTATCTGTCTTTCGTGGAACACATAATACAACCACTCAAGAATCTACAAAAACTAACCCCTCCCACTTTGTATTGTATAAAAAAAAAAGGTGAACTCGAATGGTGACAAATAACATTTGCCAATCCTCTTTATGTTACATCAATGCATACAACTTAGTAAAAAAAAGTTCACTTTGAATTTCTGAGTTGTGAAGATGTAACGGTAAACATCAGACGTACCATTCTTTAGTTGCATACTCTGGGGGGAGTTTAGGTTTGATTGGTTTGGTCGGCAGTGTACCGTTGGTGTTGGGCTGTTGAGCAGCTTGTTGCGATGGCAGTAACGCTGTGCGAGTAGCATCACTAACGCTGTAATTCCTGCTCTCGTTGATGTGATAGGAGCCCTCGTTTCTGTTCCTAAACTTGTACAAAATGATGACCAGCAGGAGAAATATAAGAGCACCGGCGGCCACCAGGCCGATGACCAACCAGGTCTGGCCAAGGAAGCCCAGCCCGTCTCCTGTCGCCTCCTCCGGCTGGACAGAACCGATGGTGGGTTTATGAGTGGGTGGCACGGCTCTCCGTGTGGTCTTGGGAGGTACCGGGGGTGGAGTGGCTGCCGGGCTGCTCTTGAAGGTGGTGAAGTTGAAGTCTGGGGCCGGGCTGGGTGTGGCATCCCCAGAAAGGCACCCAGGGTTACCCAGGATGTCGCACAAGCTCCCCGAGTAGCCGGCGGCAGCCGTGCTGTCCATCAACGAGGTCTTGGGAGATGGAGTGGTCGTGATCGGGACAGCAGTGCTTGGACTGGGTGTGGTCTCACTCGGTGCTGAGGTGGACTCCATCTCATCGACTGGAGTGAATATTGCACCATCTCCTATACATAACACAAAAACGCTTACTTCCTCCCTTCTATCATGCAGAACGTAAAAACACAGAACTGAAGAAGACTTCCTTTTATAAAGTGACAAATATAAAAATAATGACATCAAGTAAAAGTAAAAGGAGAGCACAAAGAACAGAGGAAAGAACTTCTCCTGTTATCAAAATACAGCTTTTGATCATTTCTTTTGAGTTATCACTTCAAGGGTACGAATTTGGTAAAAAAGAAAATTAATTTGCGACCACAAATTAGAGCAGGAGTACAAGTAACAAGGAGAAAACCAGAATACACAAAATACAAAATAAGATTTTACAGTAAAGGATTACCCAAAAATCGGGATGTGACCCAGGACAACCAAAAGGTACAGCTACATGTATGTTACAAGTTTCCAAAAGATTATAGGCATGGTTCAAGACCAGCATGATTAGGATCACTGCAAAGGATGACCACAGATGGTTGGAAGATTGTATAAGGTGTGGCATGGGTTAAACGGGACAGGCATGGGGGTGGGGGAACCAGAGGGTACAAGATTCTGACAACAGGCACTGAGATATCACATGAGGTATGAGAGGAAGATGGTAGGCATGGGATTACACCACAGATGCGTAGAGACCGCCAGTCTTGCTAGTAAAACCATGCCTTGGATGGATGGCAGCAAACACCACTGCGTTCGGTGAGCCTTGCTTCTTGTAACATGCTAACAGAGGCTGACATTATTTTTGCTTTTAGGTCGTGCAACCTCTTCATTTCAGTGGCCGAAGTGGCATTGTTTTGAAATGATATGACTCTTCGACTTTGCATGATTTCCCTGTACTTTAGAGAGATGCCCATTAGTTTCATCTTAGTCGGGCACAAATTGCGAAATGTACATGCGGTTTATGGTACGTGTACACCTGTGGATTAAACACTGAGGACATGGAGGTAAAAAAGCAGGCGCGGTGGCAAAGTACAGCTGTGGCTGGGAAGGTGGCTGAATTTAAACCTCACTGGGAATAATCAGGTGTAAGTCATGGTTCAAAAAAGAAAAAAAGGCAGTCACCAGAATGATAAAAATCACTGCTGTGTTGAACTGAACGTTCAATGTCCAAAACGAAAAAAAAAAAACTTCATGCATAGACAAAAAATTCAGATCTCACACAGTAAAGCACACAGTAATTCTGGTTCAAAAGCAGTTAGAATGCACAAGTTTGCGTACCAATATACAAAAACCCCATAATTTGGGAGTTTGAAACAATCATTAAGAATTTTGTGGACATCTTCAGGGTACCACTAAAAAGTGTTGTAAATTAAACCAGTTGAGAAACCCTGACAACATACAACTGCCAAAATATAAGAGTGTGGAATGTTTTACAAATGTTCCAAGTATATCCCATATTTGAATTCCTTCTTTTGAAAGTTCTGTCCAATGCAATATTGAGGCAAATGTCAAGATTTTGTGGAGTTCAGTGAAAAAAGTTAATTAACGTGGAATTCACTTTTGATAATTATTTGCTTCTGTTTGTACCATGAAAGTGAAAATATAACTACACTCTCAACTGATCCAAGAAAAAAACATTTGCGACTCTACCATTACGAAAACAAAGAGAAGGAAAGACATCAAGCACAGCAAAATAAAAAGTGGAAATGAATTTTACCTTTGGTTACTGGAAATCAAAGAAAATTGCAAAAAGGAAGAAGAGAAAGCAAATTAGAAAATGCAGAACTGAAACTATAATCTGTAAACTTCTTCATGTCTGACAGATCTTTGCTTGAGACTGATTGAGATTTTCAGTTTAAGTAGTTTGTGGTCATTCTCTTTCACCACCCAAAGGGAAGTCCAAATTTTTAAAAAGTGATTTTGAATTAATCAAATAGAAATATGTAAGCAATACATGGGCAACTTAATCAAGTACCCAAAAGATCTCCAAATGGATGCAACTACATGTAATCAAACTTGCTGCGGATTAAAGGAATTAAACATTTGTGATTATATCTAAATCTTTTACATCATGTTTAAAAAACTGAAAGTGAGACGAGGAACCTAAAATAGTCTGGCACCACACCATTTAACAGATAACACTGAATAAGACAGATCTTGGAAACAAGATCAAAAATGGCTTCCCTGCAAATAACATGCACTTAATTTTCAACACTTTTCTGTATAATAGCTGTTATATAGAATGGCAAACATTCTTGTACACAAACACCATATTCATGTCTGTTGGGGCTTGAATAAACTGAATTTCATAATCCGGTTGGTATGATGGGCTACAAGAGACAATATTATGATATCTCGCTTAGCGAACAAGGCACAAATTACTAGCCTAAGGGATGGCCACTTTGTCAAGTCTAGCCTAAATTGCCAGACCAAATCCAACACTCAAATGAGCACTTTCAAGCCTTTCTGCATTTGTATTATCCGATGAGAAATCCTTCTCTTACCCGATGCTATCTGACAGTCCTCGTCATCAACGGAGCCACACCCAGACTGCGTCACAAAGATATTATCAGGGTCGGTGCCAAAGTCAATATCACCATCAGTGGTTGCTGTCGACATTATCATCTGTGAAGAAATCATTCTCAAGAGTTGGTACATTCTATCAATAAAAGACAAGATCATTTATATTATGTGGCTGAAGGGGAGGCTTTTAATGGAACACTGAAGATAATCGTTTTCAAGACTGTTGGGTACATGTCGAAACATACTCACTAGTAAACACCAGTGTGGTCAACACTTCACATGAGGGTAATTTCACATCAAGGTGACAAATTAGTACCAATTTTGGCAGAAAAGCACCACCATAATTGTTGAATTTCTGAAATGAAATCCGCCATAAGAAGCAATGACTGTTGGGGGTCATACATGTAAGTAAATACACCTGTCAGTGTGACTGTGTTATTTTACAATGCTCCAAAGCCCCGACACAGAACAAAAGGACTGACTGCCAGTCGGCCGGTTGGGGTCATTATGAGCAACATACATTAGATTTGGCCCGTACAGTATGCCTGTACCGCCGTTATACAGTTTTTTTTCCGACTCCCAAAGTGAAAGAGCAGTAGCAAAGTTTAAAGGTGACGTCACGTGCAAAGGGTCTAGCCCCCACAAAAGAAAATTGGCTCCAGAACCGCGCTTACTAAGCACCGACCTTGGTTGGTCCAGTCAGTGTCTTGTTACCGCTGACATGGGGAGAAGGCTCCGGTTCAGGAACGCCTGGCTCAGCTGGTTTGTCCGTGACGTTGGCAGTGGTCAGCGACACCGTTGGAAAGGGCTCCGTCACATACTCCCAGATGGCATAGGGAGACGCCAGAGACACATCGCCATCAAATGTGATGCGTTCGTCACCAGATGCAGCCATGTCCAATATCCGAAGGTCGTTGTACGCCAGGCCAGCGACGACACCTTGGAAGGGGTACATGATTGCTCGCCGTTTCCGTCTGAATGGGGAACTTGTGGCACCGATATTGATCTTTGATTGGGCATCAAAATAGCTTGCTCCTCCCTCTGTGCAGAAGAAAGACAGTCGTACTATTCATTATAACACCTCTCCAAGTGATTCTATCAATCAATGATTCTATTGGACTATCACACTGGGGAAAACCATTGCAGGCTCATTCTTGATATTTGCATGGTATGCAAATATGGTGAACTATATCCATATCAAGTATTGCACTCACAGAAAATACTGCGGATTGTTAAGAAGTTAACTGTTCTCATAAGGGCTATCCACATGCACTGGTGATCTAGAAGTACATAAGTTCTAATGTCTTTGTTTTAACTTGAGGTTATAGGCATAGGGTCCATCTTGAGTGCACTTTGGTGTATGTAGTGAAAAGTATACACATTGTTAAGGAGCACATGCACTGATTTGCCCAATCAAGACGAAGCTCTTTTTCAGACTAATACAAGTTAAACAGAACGATGAGCCCCAAGCTGGATCAAGATTTTCCTTGTAATGGGGCTCCTTTGGTTGGAACTGCACTTCGCTGGTTCACAAACGATAATACGTGCGATTCACAATAATGTGCCTCCAGGAGTTTGCAATGTATTGACCAATCATGATGCGCAAAATCTGTTTACCCAAATGCACATTTGGACCCGTCGACAGATTTCGCGCAATGTGATTGGCCAACACACTACAAACACTTTGAGGTGCGCTATTGTGAAACGCCCATATTATATGCATGTGTTAAGGTTGCTTCCAGGAAAATTAACACTCCCAACCAACCTTGCTCTGTTCGACCACTAGGGAGCACTTCTGCTCAAGGCAGATTGCACTGTTCTGAACATGTGAACAGAATATGCTAGTTTCATGGTTGTGGTCAAATGAGGTATTTGATTGGTCACTCTCCGTGCATGCAGCTCAAATTTAGAACATAAACCACACATGCAGGCCATCAAAGTACCTTCATTTGGCCCATGTGGTTACGCCGGATCATAACTACCTCAAACAATGAACACTGCCTAAGAGCAGAGGAAATATTCAACGCACAACACCTACTTCTTCCGTAGTTTTGAAACAGCTCCACCTTTGGGTAGAAGTCCACCTGCAGTGTGGAGTTCTCTCCTCGACGTGTAAACTGCACCGTGTGGTACCGCCCGTCATTGACCCGATATGTCTTCTCTCCAATAACATGGTCTTCAGCACCAAAGTTGTACCTGACGAACAAGTGGCCGTGGAGCTGCAGAGGGGATAAAAGTTAGCATTGGACTGAAACTGTGGATGAAACATACAACACAAAACAGGTCACCAGGTCAAATGGGATGTTTTATATACAGCATAGCAAAAGCATTTCTACATGGAAAAATTAGGCAAAGCTAAGTGTTATAGTAAGTGGCAGTCTGAACTTCCAACTAATATTGTGACCCAGTCATTGTTCACAAGTCAAGTTGCAAGCCATTGTGTCCTGAGCCCAGTCAAGTCACAAGTCTTTTTTGTCCCACATCAAATCCCGTGTCAAAAAAAAAATGTTTTATAAGATGTTAGTATGATGAATATAAATTTGCCTTTGCACATAAAAAAGTTGGCAATGTCAACAATTTCATTTCGCTCAAATCAAGTCCAAGGTCATTATTCAAGTCTCAAGTGCAAACTACATGTTTTGTGACTTGAGTCTGATTGAAGTGCAGATAAGCCACTCAAGTCCAACTACTCGGACTCCAACAAGGGGAAGTATCTCTACTATTTCAACCAGAGTGGCATTTAAAACAATGTTCACCAGTTGGAAATATTTTTTTGCGGTACCTGCTGCTACATCTGACTCAAACCAGCCAGCTGACACCGCCAATATCGGTGGTCGAGTGGTTAAGACGTCTGTACTAGTAAGTGGGAGGTAATGGGTTCGAGCCCCACCCGAGTATGCTTGTGGTTTTTTCACAAGCCTTTGGGGACAAATAATGAGTATACAGTGTTAAAATACACCTTGGGCAGGGCAAAAAATATCCAAAGTTAATATTCACCAGATCATCAGAAGCACATGTGACTTGTCCACCAGTGTCACATCAAAAGAGGGAATTTATGCTTTAGGGAGGACTTGCCAAGTGGACTAATTGTAAAAAACATTTCCCTATCATTACTTGGAGACAGGTGTGACTAGTGACCACTGGGGTCTGTATACCTACCAGTTTCATGTATACCTACCAGTTTCATGTATACCTACCAGTTTCATGTATACCTACCAGTTTCATGTATACCTACCAGTTTCATGTATACCTACCAGTTTCATGTATACCTACCAGTTTCATGTATACCTACCAGTTTCATGTATACCTACCAGTTTCATGTATACCTACCAGTTTCATGTATACCTACCAGTTTCATGTATACCTACCAGTTTCATGTATACCTACCAGTTTCATGTATACCTACCAGTTTCATGTATACCTACCAGTCTTATGTATACCTACCAGTTTCATGTATACCTACCAGTTTCATTTCAATGTAATCATGGGAGTTGGCACTGCTGATGTGGGTGAGTATGCCGTCCTGTGACTCTGCGACAAAGCCCAAGCTGAGACTGTCCCTGTCCGATCGCAGCCACTGGTCCTTGGGCAACTCCAGTGAGATGAGTCCACCTGACTCACCAAACTGGTAGCCAATACTCACTAGTGGGGAATAAAACCCACAAACATACAAATTCATTGTTTTGGTCGAATAATAATAACTTTGACTATTTTTTGCCTAAATAGACTTAAGCTTTCAGTGGACTGTATTTCAAACATACAGAAAGAACAATGAATCCATACAGCCTTCAGTAAAAACAGTAGACACAACAGACTTTGCAACATGTTTTTTACCAAAAATATAAAAATTTTCTAAATTTTAAAACTATTTAAGAATAGCAGAAAGTGTATTACTTGCACATGAATTTTCAGATTCTTTCAACCAAAGACATGTCCAAATCTTGTTTCCAGAGCTAATTCGACTCGGTATTCGCAGGTTCCAACAGATTCAGCAGTAGCTGTGAAAAACCATTTTCAATATGGCCTAAGAAGCCTATCTTGAGACTTCTGTCTGACTCTGGGACAGAAAGTCACAATTTTGAAGTATGTTTCCATAAGGACCCCCCATAAGTACCACAGCAATAGCACTGAATGGCCTACGCTGTTGATCATGTCAAAATATTACATGGTCTGAAGGGGGATAGCATTTTAGCTCCCTGAGGAGTTGGAAGTTGACAAACTAGTTTTGGAGATCATGAATATGATCATGAATATATGTGAGGTACAGTAGTTCTCCTTGACTGATGGGATTGAGTTCAGTCTCACTCACCGTTACTGCAATACTGTCCGGTGAAACTTGTCCTTCGGCAGTCACAGGTATAAGTATCAAAACCAGGGACACAGATGCCACCAAAGTTGCACAGGTGATCGATACACAACTCGCGCTTGTCTGAAAAAGGGAGGGAAAATGAAAGGGGGCTCTATGAATTTACATGAAAACCGAAGACTTCAGAAGAGTTTAACAGCTCGGTGTTTTTTTGGACTGCCACTTCCTTCATTGTGTTATAACTTAGATCAACGGGAGATGGCACTTTTTTATGCAGCAATGGCATCCCACTCACAAGGATAGATTGTATTGTACACACACACACACATTAGGATGGGTCCCATTCAGCACATGCAACCAAGTTCCTGTTGGAGGGTACAGTCTTCACATGAGAGCTGGACTGTGCCCAGTCTCCTTACGGCCTTCTTTGCCGGTGGGGCGGGGGGGAGGTTGCCTTCTAAAAGACTATGAACGACAGCTTCCCAAACGTCCTTGGATTCAAGCCTGCAAGTTCTAGCTGACCGGCCGGTTTAAATACCAGACCACCAAGCTCACAAGGGTCAGGCAATTTCTTTTAATCCAACGTAGTGGCAGATAATGGTCTCAATGAAATTTTAATGGAAGTTTTCACCAGGTGATATGAATGGTAATTTGACCTTTTGGGATGTAGGATTTTTTTTTTGATTAACTTTAACAAACCTACATGCAGTCTGTTTAAGAGCAGAGCCCTGAAAGAAAGGAGAACCATATTAAGTAGTTCCATGGAGGCAAATGTATGAATCAACACGTAGTGTTGACATACACCCATCTTACATTGAAACTGACTCTGCATATAAAGTATTGCACATGCCGTTTCACATGTTGTTTATTTTACAAGTGCTAGGGCAACTCGGTTGATGATTAATATTTCCCTTTTGTAATTCTCTTCCTTTTGAATTTAACCAGTCAAGAATCAATTACAGGGCAATTGTAAGTCATCCTGAAGAAGGTAACAAAGAGATGTTAAGTATTACAGGTTGGAGGAAAACAACCGAAAGATTCCAGGTTGAAACCAATGGAATCAGTTAGGGACTGGAAAAATACCAATATCAAAACCTATGCTTATTACACATTGAATGGAGTTTGCTGACACCAACGTTACCTTCGCATCCTCTTGTTAGTTCCTCCTTTAATTCCATGCTTACGGCCGTCTCCATTAGGTCCTCATGTCTTCCGTTTATCTCCAGAGAAGCTAGACATCCCTGGTAACCTTGGGTCGCTTGGACCTTCTCGGGCAGAAACTCAAAGGTCTCCTTCCCGCCCACAAACAGGTTCTCTGTGAAGTCGAAATGATTGGCGTCCATCGTGGACCGTGACCGTGCAGACCGCGAGTCCACCTTGAGGACCTGGCGGTCGCGGCTATCATGGGAAATGCCCACCTCGTGCCAGCGATTGTCGTTGAGCCGTTCTCGACTGTTTCCCCGTAAAGTCTTGGCCCCTCCGCCCAGATTGAATGTATAGTAGATGAATCCGTCCACCAGCTCGATGGCCAGGAAGTCCAGCTCTCCCTCAGTGTAGAAGATCAAACCATCCGCCACCGTGGTCTTGAACTGGAAGAAGATGGACAAGCTGGGGTAGGTCTTGATTTGGGGCAGCTGCACCAGAACCTCCGGGGTGTGAAAGGTGAAGGGATCGTGGATGGGACGTCGGCTCATCTGCTCGCCAAAGCTGGCGGTGTTTTCGATGAAGTCGGGCATCTCCTCACGAGCCAGGTCGAAGTAGTGGTGGTTGTTGTAGATGAACTGCTCCATGTGGCCCTGGAAGTTGGGGGGCCGGTCGATGCTGCTGGTGAGGTGCGGCCGGCTAAGCAGACTCCCCACATCAATGTAGCGGAAGTCAAGGGTGCCGCTTTCAAAGTCGTCCCCGGCTGCATGCAAAAAAAACAAGGAGAGGAAGACAAAGACAGCTTTGAAACCATAAGAAATTATAAGAATTCTGTTTGAAATAGATTTTGGTTGAACACCAATGCTTGGATTATTTACCTCATGAAACTCCTGCACTGCTGGTGTGGCTAGGTTCTTAATTTTTTATAAAGCTCTATGGAACGTATGGAACGTATGGAACAAGTTTGAAGTATGTTTTAAACTTCAGATTTATAGGATTAAAATTAAACAATCTGTGATAATTACACGTTGCAAGAATGAAACCCTACTCGTTTTTTGCTTGATTGAAAGACTTTGTTCGGAAATTTCTTTCACTAGAAATTATGTTGATGAAACTAAAACTATCAATGCAAATTATCTTCTCATTTGTGTTTGATGTCGAGGAAGCTGGATGGATTTCACTTGGCTACCTGTATCAATGTATGCCAAAATTAATACAAGTTTAGCCAAACATATATTATGTTTATGTCGTACAAGTTTTTTTGACCATAAATAAAATTGTAGCCGGCCTACAGCTTGATACTGACAATGCAACATTTCAGGTGAGATGACAACATGTCTGAGTGCAATGTGATAGTCTTTTTCCATGCAACCCAGGCCTTTTTTTCTGCAAATGTTTATTCTAACTTTGAAATTCAGGCTGCTCTAAACTGGTGATCTCCAACTTAACATTTTAATTACTTACTATCGACAACAAAAAATTCCTTATTTCCTGCATCCGTTATTCTGAACGATGTCATGAACTGATGAGGCCCACCGATTTAAATAGCAGTTTCTGTTTTATGAACAAGAAGCCTGCATTCATTTCAATACAAACCAGGATGATTCTATCAAAACCTACGTTGATACCTCCAGTAAGTTATGGACGTGTATTTGTCCATAGGGTCGCAAACAAAAGTCTTCCTTTTTATGCCAGAACTGCACAAATCCCAATGCTAAAAATAAGACGGATTAGAGGAGACACAAAATTGCATAGATTTAATGGACAGGGCAATAAAAATGGGTAAACTGCATTTATGCCTGTTGTCAACAGCCATCCCTATCCCCTACTCTGACTGAGGACTTGGAAGTGAACAGGCCAAAACTCTAAGTTGGAGTGAAGAACCAGTCACAATGCTGTTCACTCTTATCCCTACTTCATTTTCACTGACAAATTCTGTTGAGAAGGTTTGCTTTTTCTTACACAAAATCTTCCCCCAAAAAAATTTTGTCCGCATTCAATGAATATAACTGTGATGCTACCTGCGTTAACACATGAGTTGTTACTTGTTGACTGTTTTTTACGATGAGGATGAGTATAAACCCTCAAGCTACTGGATTACCTCCAAAGTACCCAAAAGCTTTGACAATTTTGTGTCGTATGGGCATGTATGGAGTAAAGGGTCCAAACATGAACACTTGATGTAAGACTGCAAGATTTCAACTTCGATGCCTTCTTGTATGAAACAAGAACATGTCCGTGCAACATTTCTCTTAAAGGCATTAGATAGACGTTTAAATTTATGAGTTCAACTTTTATTTCTTGCATAACTTCAAGAACACAAGAAGATATCACTGCAAGGAAAAACTTTGAACAAGGTAGGGAAACATTTTCCAAATTCAGACCCTATTTGGTACCCGAACCCTCTCCTCAAGTGTCCTCTACCCTCCAAAAAAGAATTCATTTGGCGATCTCATTTGAAAAATTAACAGCCCCAAATGAAAGTTTCCTGAAGGATAAGATAGTGCAAGCTTGTCTTTTTGATGATTGCCTCGGCTCCCACATTCCACTCCAAAAATATCTGAATTTCATTTTCTCCTTTTTGATCAAGTAGATGCTTCTCTTAATGTGGGGACAACAGCCTGAAATTCTTCTTTAAAAAAATTCCTTTAAAGAGGCATCCATTAAATGTGCCATCTAAAGAACATAATTAACCCGATCAAAATGAACTGATTGGTTGCCTAAGAACTGAATCTTTATATGTAAAAAAATCTGTGACGGGGATAATAGTGTACTAAAATATTTTTGTTTAAACTTCAGATAATCTAAAAAAGAAAACTGAGATGGGACCTCTAGTAATGTAGGAGTTAAGTTTATGTACAATGTCAAAATTAATCTTCTTGTAGCTGTACTGATGAGAGCTTTACAATTAATTATTTAACTGACGAACAGTTCTTGTGAGGAAAAAAAAAAGAAAGTCAATTTGTTGGATTTAATATATGAGGGGAGCCGTTGTCTTTTGTCGTCTCAATTCCATCTGTACTTACCTCGGCTGGATACATTATAAGCTGGGAATTGGCAAAAAATCCAGAAGCATTTTCCAGAGTTTGACAAAGAGAAAAATGGCAGCGGAAGAAAGTAAAAGAGTGAGGCAGTTAGACAGTGTGTGCGGTAGATTGGTGCAAACAAGGTACATGGTATCAACAAGACATAAACAGGGCCTACATGTCAACATGAGTTAGTAGAGAAAAAAATAGGAGGGAAGGAAAGTTGCGGCAAAAAAATGCGATACCAGGGATTGGCTCTCCGATTGATACCATCAAGGTCATATATGAGCCACAAACGACTGGAAATCTTTGTTTTCTTCAGAGGTTGATGCTTTTTTCTTTTGATTCATGTCAATGTCTTTATCAAGGGTACTGGAGGTCCTTCCTTGCTTTTGATTCGTCATGTCCAAATCTTCATTGCAGAATTAAATTTCTGATATATATTACCCTGTGGTTCTTTTTTTGTCCTTACCAACAACTGTGACTGAGGAATTTGATGCTGGCTCCATCCTAAATGTTACCTGTGAAGTTCGGCTGTGAATACAATTGCTTATTTAGGAAAATTTATCATAAGTTTAAGTTAATCGGAAGCCAAATTGATTCAAATGCTTCACCTTTCAAATAAACAAATATTTGGGGCATTTAACATCCTATTGATGGAGACAAGCTAAATATGAACTCGATATTAGGGGATGTTTTAAAGGTCTGCTAAAAACGTGTTAATAAATAAAAAGTTGTCTGAAAAAATGTCATAATACCTGTAGGATCAAAAACTTCAAAAATCTTGTCGGGACAAGAAAGCCTGTTCAACTGTCTGTTATCGAGTTCCCAAGGCTAAACACTACAGAGGTGCTTACTGTGCAAATGGAAGAAATGCATGCAGTTCCCTATATGTCGGTGGAGCTAAATAAGAAAAGTTTTCATTCATTAAAATGACAAGCAATGACACAATGATGGTATAATTTCTTTTAAGTTTGCTGCTGATGAAGAAATAGCTGATAGTTACCTTCTGCTTTGTCAGAATCATCCACTGTTAGGCGTAAAGTTCTGTCATGCCTTTCTATACTGAACGAATGCCACTGATTGTCGTCCAGATTGGTGCCAGCTGTTATTGTCGTGCTGCCTGTGCCAAAGTTGGCTGTGACCCGGACCTCTCCGTGGGACAGCTCAGCCAGCAAGATGTCAATGATGGTGTCGGAGGTCGTCGCTATGAGCATGCCATCCGGGTGGCTGGTGCGAAAGCGCAGGAAGATTTCCTCCACTTTGCTGCGTGTGGTTTCCCTGAGGGTGATGCGCATGGACTGGTTGCCATTGAAAGCCAGCCGTGCGACCTCTGCAGGGACAAAGAGACGTAAGTTGGAATTGATAATTGGAAAAAAACACATTAATTTCAATATTAATCTAAAGGAGGTTGTGAAATATTTGCTGGATGGTTTTAAAATTGAAAAAAGTGTTCTTGCTTGGCTCTTCATTACAAGACATAAACTATCAATGTCAAATAACCACAAAAGAGAGATGGGTCATTCTATAAATTTGGGGTCCAATTTTTTTCCTGTCCCTGTTACGTCTGGCATATGATTTTTCAATGTTTAAAACTCATTGCTAAATTCCAAGATTGAATAAGTACTGCAAATTACTTGCCAGACAAATCAAAAATAGTTTGTAATCAATTTTAGTGATACATCCCTTGTCAAACATGTCAGATGGTATACATGTCAGAGGTTACAGGGACAGAAAAATATCACATTGGACCCAAAATTTATACAATGACCCAGATGTACATGTACTGTGATTACTTTTCCTCTTAAGCAAAAAAAATGGATTAAGGCTAGCTTTATTCACTCTTGGGTTAAATGGTACTATATAATTCATGGAAAACTAAACAGATATACTCTACTGACATGTTTTTATATCTACCGGTGTAAAGAGCCATCTATACACTGTTATCAATATTTTCAGCGATGAAGTCTCAATCCCACAACACAGAAACAACCCATTTCATCATTTTGCAACACAACGATAGTTCCCACCCAAGATACACATTCCATACCCCCCGCCCCGCCCACTTTTTTCTCCCTTATCAGTTCCACAATCTTTCAATCAGAGCCGAAGGAAAACATACTATTCTAGATGCCAGTGACAACGGCTTGAAAGCATTCTGAAATCTTTCAGAGACTGCAATCACACTGATTGACAAGGATGATTACAATGTCCCAGGTGACCAGCAAGATATTTACTCAAACGAATGAATCTGATAAAATCTTTAAAAATTTAATTTCAATATTGTCAAAACCTTGGAAACTTTCAGGTTGACATTTACAAACAGGGGGAAAAATTGTAAATGCTTTTATTAAGAAATAATCCTGCCGGGGTTCAGTAAAAGTCTGAAATTTTTTTACCTTTGTAAATTTCTTCAAATTTAAGTTTACATTTAAGAAAGCTGTTACTTTACATCTGAATACATTCACATGCATCATTGCTGACAACTGTTTCTGACTGGATTTCCTGTGGCATCACAATATTTTTATTAGAGGGTGTTCTCAGTCTGTTTCATCCCTAACTTCAATAAAGACACTACAATACAGAGGACTGACCAATGCCATCTAAAAGCCAAATTTTATGTCTACCCAAGACAATGCAGAAATGAGTTTTTAGAAAATATTAATTTAGTGTCAAACTCACAAGAAATTGTAAAAAAGTTAACACCATATCAGCAGTCGACACATTAACAAATAGTGGTAAGAGGTTGAATGACAAGAAAGGAGTGCTGTATGCAACCACGTTATCTCAGAGAAGCTAATTTTGCAGTGATGATATGGGAAAAATAGTTACATCTGCCACTGATCTCTGTATCTTAACTGAATAGTACATAGAGATTGAGAACTGATGAAGTTATTGGATGCCATACTGTAAACCGCTTCTAAGGCTGCATCCAAATCTGCTGTCTAGAAGCGGTTTACAGTATGGCATCCAATAACCTCATTAGTTCTCAATCTCTAAGTACTATTCAGTTAAGATACAGAGATCAGTCACTCTATTGGAAATACATAGAGACGTGGACAATAGACCAAGCCATAGCTCTGGAAGCCCGTTTTGGACATGGCTTAACTTTCCGAGTGCTTTCTGTGTACATGTTATGAATTTGCGAGACTTTTTATCACTAAGAAGTAAAAATCAGCAAAGTTTAGGGTTAGAATTACATGTAATATACAGAGAACCTAAACATTTGATGATAGTTTGTTAGGCATGCAGTAACATACCTGCCCCTTTATACACATAAGCTGAAGGTGGATACCAGGAGAGAGTGACTCACAACGGGAGTGACGAATGGGTGGAGACATGGGTAGACAGATAGTGTGACACATGGAAACATTTGGCAAGTGGAATGAGTAAGCAGTTTCAGGGAGAGAGAGGATTGACAAGGTTAGCTGCTGGCAATGAGGACACATGGTTAGATGGTGAAATAAAGAACACATTTTATGAACAGTGAAACACACAGCTGTTGAGGAAAACATAATGTTCTCAATTCCAGGAGACTGACAAAGTACTTGAACATAAAGGGTTCTCACTAAGGTCCAGTTTTGAGGGGAGAGATAGGCCAAGAATTGAGGAGAGCGTTCCTAAGCAAACACTGCTCTGTTAGTAGAAGTATATCTTTTTCCTTGACAGCTGCTGAGAATGTAAGTGTGTTATCACTCCAACAAAACTTCTTTAAAGGGTGTCGAGGACTGGAAATCTGCATGCAAGCCCTGGCAAGGTGTGACATTCAACTGAAACAACACTTGGAATTGTACATCAGCTTCATAGAATTAAACTTCAACCAACACTAAACCCACATATGTGCCTTCTCTATATTGCTAATTTCTGTTAATCAGGAACTTTAAAATAAAACAAAGCAAAATGTACAAACAATGACACTTTAATTAATGGTACAACTTTATTAGCCAGGAGATGAGTTTGTGATTCTTCAGAAACCTAGGAGATACACTTTTTGCAGGAGGGGTCTCTCAAAAAGGACTATTTACTAGTTCATTATCAGTGCTGATTTCATGTAACTTGGTTTAGGCATGTTAGAATTTTTGATACACAGTTCCAACTGTAAAAAGATCGGCTTGTTCTCAACTACGGGGCAGCAGTTCATTTCTGGCTGCAACTGCATGAAATACTTGTAATTATTCCCTGAAGCAAAGTGCCCCTAAAAAGTATTGCAGAGATTCAAAATCCATGAAAAATACTTTTTTGAAAACTGAAAGATTTGAAACCCCAAAACATCTTCTTGAAAGCAACTGAGAAAAACCAGAATGAAATCAAAGAGATAGCAAGCCAGAATCTAGCTCAGGACCAGTCTCACCATCTTTGCATGTTTCCCCACTGTAACCTGTCTTACGACAGTCACAGATGAAGCGGTTCCAGCCCTCCCGACAGGAGCCGCCATGCTGGCAGGGGTCGCTAGTACACAACGGGTCCTCTTCCCGGCAGAACCGGACAATGTTGCCGTCCTCCGACTGCTCCTCAACGTACTGCGGCAGGTCCAGTGTCTCGCCGTTCATGGCCATGTTGCGGATGCAGCCCACATAGCCTTGCCGCAGGGCACCCGAGAAGAGTTCCAACGGCAAGGCCAGGCTGGGCTCGATGCCGCCCACAATCAGGTCCATCTCCAGGTTGAGCTTGTCGTTGTGGCCCGGCACTTCAAACTTGTGGGACGTGGACGAGCCCACCTACTCCCGGAAGAGGAAAAAAATTGTAGTGCCCAGATTTTAAAATATCTAAATGAGCACAACTCTGTCAGAAGCTCCAACTGCTTTAAGTTGGAAAATAGCAAGGTGAAGATAGTACATATTGGGTAACTAGTCCCTATGGCAACTGCTTCGGATTTTCTTCCAAAGTATCAGTCACAAAATGCTTACGCCCTCCTTGGTCCATCATTTATGTATGTCACGTAGACAATGCTAATGAGGGAGCATTGCACTGTCCGGTACACAAGCATCATGCAATATATATATGTACCTCTCAATCTCTTGGGCTCAAATGGCCCGGAGTAACACTGGTACATAAAAAATACATGCTATCTGCAGAGCTTATACTCCGGAGAATCCTGATAATTGTGGCCAGAAGCAGGCCCACTCCTGAGCAGCACAAACACCCTTTCTTCATAGCTTGCATCACTATTGAACAGAATCTGGCACGTGGTTACAGTCAAGCATTTCGTAGTCAATCTAAATGTACTGTGTTCTCTGAGAAAGGTCTCATGACCTCCATTTGTAAGAAAGAAGAAGTTGATTGGGTTGATAGTTCATGAAATGAGTGGGTGTATTCAAAGGTTGGCATTGGAAAATGCAGCCAATTTAAGCAAAACAGACTTGTCAGTAACTCAACACCCAAGGACATAATCAAACAACGCATCTGTCTTTTCTGTTGAACAAATATTACTTATTACATGATAGAAATTAAACTTCTTTTGCTACGAAACTTGCCTCTGCACTATCTGCATCCTGAATTATGGGTTACACGCCACAAAACATACATACAGGGCACAATATCAGTTACTTTACCATAAGACATTGGGGTATTATAACTCCTTTTTGTGCACAATAGATAAATCCAAAATATACAAGTACACATGCAATCTGAACATGCAAACAGCATTTCAGTTTGACCTCGGCCAAAATGGAATATGGGAATTTTTCAACCGGAACGCAGAAAACAAAATCAATGCATCCTTGTTTTGTGTCCCGAGAAATGCATCTCCTTAAAATCTCAACAAATGCGATTATCTAAACAGGTCGCTAGCTGGGGGTCAAATATGCACTTAATAGTGGGACATATTGTGCGGTTTTAAGGTGATAGAGGAAACACAACACAGCTTGTGTAAGCAGCCCCCTGGCAAATTGCATGGGTATCATGCCCTATCAATGCAATGCCCATTTGCTTAAGATAACATCTTCTTTAAAAGACTACACACTGACTGAATTTAAGACGTTTTGGCCTCTACTTGAACTCCTGTTTAGCAAATAAAACACAACAAAATCTCGGGCCTTCACTTTGCTTTCAAACTAGCACTTTTGTTTATCCGGAGCTGATTTCAGTATGATGTGGACGTGTTGCAATTTAGAGTGGCTCTGAAGTACAAAAAAATGATAGACCATTAAAGTCTATCGCAAGATTCCATTTTATAAAACTCCGGAGAGAAAACTGAAAGAAGTTTAAAGAAAAAAAGACAAAACAACCTTTGAACTGAACAACATTCACACTCAATGTTCTTATCTGGAGGAAATTGCTTTTTCAAATGGCTGGGGAATGGTAACCGTGTGTGAGCAAAAGAGGCTGGCTACACCTAGCAACCAGCTCCCGAGGGGCAGATACAACACGTACACTCACTGCTCTGTAAATGTCAGGTGCTTAATCGAGTATGACTGACACAATTTTCATCAGGCAGTGCTGAAACCTTTGCATGGGAGGTGAACATACACCAAACCTCTCAGCCCAGCTTCTCTCTCTGACACCCAACTTGACATGCTTGACACTCGTTGGAACAGTAGAGGGTTGAGGGCTTAAAATTTGCTGGGATTGACCACAACAAACCACTCCGAACTGCATTTTCAGGATCAAAATTCTGCTGAGCCTACCTTGAAAACATACAAGTGGGCATTTGTGATGAGTACATGTACCTACATTTATGATGCCGATGGCTAGGTCCCGTTCAAAGACCACATGATGCCATTCCCCGTCGTTGAGCGGAAAGGTGTAGGCTTTCTCTCGGACCGGACCAGATCCCAGATCGAGAATGACGTAGAGGTATCCCTCCAGCAGCTCAAAAGCTAGGAAGTCGGACATCTCGTCAGAGCCACTGCTATACATGATGACGGCATTGGGCTCATTGGTCCGGAAGTCAAAAGAGAGGGACCCTTTAGACTGGGAGGAAAAGAGAACAAACTATCCATAAGAAAATCATTACACAATTGAACATGTTGAATGGAAACTAGAATGCACAAAGTTGTGAACACAGGATGCCATGCAGCCCTCATCCTAATTTTTGGATGTTGGATAACGTTGGATGAGGAGTGAAACAGTCATATATCAGCCTTTTTTAACCACTTTTTGTATTTGTCCCATTAGCAAATGTGGTTGTACAAAATGTCTGACTACGTTTTTCAGTGAAATTTGCACTGTTTAATTTTATGCAGATATACAGTAAGTAAAATTTAACCTACATAATATGTAATGACCCACAACTCATGACTTTAAACACCTACCATCTTGAAGTTTCAGGGATGAAAGTAACTTTCAAGTTCACTGATGGTAAGGATTAGGATAGACAGTCTCAACTTCCAGTAAATAAAAAAAAAACCTTTGCTGTTTCTGTAAGCAGAAGGAAATCGGAGCAGCAGAAGCCTTGTAAATGAACTCCCCCTGTTGTGTTGAATGACATACCTCGGCATTCCAGCGTGGTAACCTCAGTAGAGATTCCTCCGTCAGGAATGTGATGGGGTCAATGCCCTGTACCGTCTCCTCCCTGAAGATGATGTCACCCTGTATGTAGATTAACGGATCGGACCGAGACGCCTTCTCCAGCAGCTCCATCTCTATGTTGCCATAGTAACTCACCTAATGCGTCGGGAAAAGAAGTGTCAAAAAAGTTACACAGAGGCTAACGAGAATTGAAACAAATAACCCAAGAAGTTGTAAAAGTCCAGGTCTATTTCTTCGGCTTAACCTGAAACTTCAACAAAAGTAAGGAACAATTTATGTGTACAAGTGTAAAAAATATGGAGTTATAACTAACTGGTGTATGTCATTCTGCATTGCAGGCAAACAGTCAGTAGAAAGCGAACACAAAGAAAGAATAGTCTATATTAAACTTCCTTATTAGAGAATACGACTAAGAAATTATGGATTACACTCACTAAATATAAAAGGAGTTCTTCTGATTAGGTTTGACTAATTTGTAGGCTAGGAACTGATCTGATTGTTAACTGTAACACATTCCACAGTCAGGGAGCCTGAACCAAGGGCATCTCCTGGAAGATCACAATTCTTTGAGACGATCAGTAACCATAATAACCTAGCATTGGCCCAGCCGGGCCCTATCCTAATGGATGGCAGAGTGAATTGCTGTCAGTGGAAAATGTGTCAGAGCAAGGCTTACTGAGTGACTTGTAGACGTCGAGTGTGCATTTGAAAACAACAAGCTCTTCAATTGGAAGTAGACAAGAGATCGCAATAACGGTAATGACAAACGTTGAACTGGAAACCTGACTGACACTTGTGATGACTGTGCTGTCGCAAGACAAAATGTTCTTGATGCTGAAGTCACGATGACTGACTTCTAAATCCAACTTTGACTGATGGCAGTCCAAAAGACAACCTATCGAAAACAGCAATGCTTAAATAGAAACCGTCTTTATCTACCGTTCCCATTTTCACAGCAGGCTTATATTCCCTCTCACTTGACTCTAAATATAAGTTCTTGTTTATCTTAATCCCGGAAATTACTAGTGTCCTCATATCCTCAGAAGGCAAATGTCTATAAATTTTCTGTTCCCCAAAGATGCATGGGCTCTAAATCTGATTAGATCCCAAAGGTGCATGTTTTCTGGACGCTCTACACTTTCCTAGGACGATCTAATGGAAGCTAATGGTCTTAGGAAATATCAGCAATAGATGGAGTGCTAGGTTGATAGGCTTCGATGTCCTAGCTTCTTGTAATGAAATCAGTTTGCCATATTGACAACACTGTGGGTTCAATACAAGCAGGGTTTCCATTAATACGATTTTAGGAAGATGGACGCGGTGTTGGCAAGATGCGTCATGCATTAATGTAAGCTGGTACAAACAACTTGCTTGAATTAGATTTGCAGTACCATAGGTACCGGATATGTACCTACAAGATCCTGGTGTATACATGTATTGCTACATGTACATGACCAATTCAAAAACATTGGAACAGTGTACATCGTTTGATTACTCTTTGCACATATTTTACAGAAAGAACGGTCTGTTGACTACAAAACACATCTTTTGCCCCTACTCTCTAAAAGGTCTTATACTTACGTGCAATATACGAGTGTTTTGATGGGTGTGGTAGAGCGTAGGTCATGCCTTAGTATGCACATTTCAAAGGACACAAAAAGACTGATAAGGAGCTTAGAAACAGGACCTTTTCTGCAAAAAAATCCTAAGGAACACTGTTACCCAGAATAAATTTTCTCAGTCTCGATGAAGTCTTGTGTGATACGAAGTCAATTATTTCCGTATTATTCAATTCATTTGCCACTGTCCTACCATCTTTGATTATACTAGCTACTTCAAATTTGCAAGAATGTGGGGTGTAAGTTTTCCAGCAGTAATGCAAGGTACAACATATCATGCACAGCTGGCACGCCCATAAACTAGCTTGTCATGTGCACAACTTGACTTCTCCAGTATTTCAAATGATCTTACCTATTACAATTGCAGCCAAAAAGCTTTGCAAGTACTTTGTAAAGCAAAACTTTAAATACCTGTCTGTGATTAACACTGATAATTTAGATTACATGCATGGACTTAGGTTTGTATATTAAAGGAGAGCGAAGGATCTAGGATTTGGGAAGGGCAATAGAGAGAGAAACGTATTGAGCAGGAAGGAATTAACTGGTTTACTTCACTTCTCATGTCTGCCTGCCAGCATGTGTCATTTACAGAACAGTGTGCAATGGTGATTTCCCATCGTTCTACTTCAACTGTCACACGGGAAAACAATGCATGCTCGCCATTTTCTACAATACAACACCAGCGATTACAAGCATGTCTATGAATACATTCATCCAGAAATGTCACTCCGATATTGATAATAACAAACGAGATCACGCAGTTGATGCATCCAGAATATTAACTGGAATGGCATGGGGGAACGGAGAGGGCTTATGGTGGGAATACGTTAGCAAGGCAGGACGTGGGAAGGTGGAATTCGTTTATGGATTGTGGAGATCAATGGCGGAAGCATCTGGCCAGCTGATGTCATCGTTTGATGCATTGTTTTAGAGTAATTGATGGGTCAACTTCTTGAAATTCTGTGTGGAAGAAACTCGTCAGTTGAAGTCTAATACTGCAAATGCACGTACATGTATGCTACGTTACAAATGCTATGTTATTGGAGTAGTCATTATGTGCTCTTGTCTACAGAGTATTAGTTGATGGTTCCCACCTCTTGCAATTCAGTGAGGGAAAAACAGGCCAGTTGGAGTTTTAATAATAAAAATTCCAAATTGTGCTCTCTCTTGCCTACTGGAATACCGTTTACAACATATCATAGAACTCTTTTTCATAATTCATGAAGAAAATAACACCTTAGCAATGCATGACAGACAGTTGTATTAAATGACTTCTAGAGATGAAGCTACATGGGCAAAGGCAGTTCTGTAGCCAACTCTTCACTTTTGTGGGTTCAGGAATCCAGATCCTTGCTTTTGACTAGAGGCTATTAAATCTGGAACTCAATGCACTTCAGTGGTGTGTAATTCCTGGTAGTACAGGAACCGGGCACCTTACTGGAGCAAGACACACAAAATGGTACTCAAAAGAGACTCAACCTCAAAGATTTTAAAAAAATAGGAAACAGTATGAAAACAAATTCAACTCGTTAATTCTGTCGTTACCTTAAGTGCTAAACAGCCTTTGCAAAAGATGAAACACTGCATGTAGCCTGGTTTTTATTTTATATTTTCAATAAGAACCTTCTAGACATTTCCTTCTTATTGTCTGAGAAATTACTATAAGTCATGTGATTACCTGTTTGCAAGTACCTGGTCCCATAACTTGGAACCAGTTCCCGACACTGACAGCTGGGTACCAGGTACTGTATTGTGTACGAGGCATATGCTACGAAGCCGTTTCATACCGGTAACTCACATTTCTCTACTATAAGCTCATTAAATATCCGGTATATCCAGGTCAAAATTAGCAACTACATTGTCAAATGTAATACTTTGCCGTTCACCAACTGGATTAAGCCCCATTTGCTTTGTGGTAGTATCTCTGTTTGTCACTGCACTGTTAAGCTCACTACAAAGCAAAGAACGGGTTATTTTTGCCCCAGGATCAATGGTATTTTTTCCAACATCTACAAGAAAAGGTGTTCCTGGTATCAACTGTACTTTGAAGTTCACACACACCAGATTCAAAGGTTGGATTCCTGGAATCTGAAATTTCACCAATAGAAGGCGTGTCAAAGTTTCAGATCACTTGACCTATCAGCTGTTTATTCTCACCTGAAGAGTTGCTTTTTAAGCAGTTTAGCGACCGCTTTCATTGGCTTTATTTTTAACCTAAAAATTCTATTGGTTAAAGAAAGAGGTGTGTGTAGACTTGAAATAGCAAACCAACTCAGGCAGGAAATGCATTACCTCTAAGACCGGACTTGAGGAATTGTTAGCTTCAGGACAACTGTTATTTTGGGGCTTGGATTGCACTTGATTCCGAAATAAAATGAGACTGCCTGAAGTCAAAAACAGACTCAATGCCTGTTTAAATGGTTTGATCTGAAAGCAGAGACGTTTCATCTTGGGCTGGGCAGGAATTGAGTTCTGCATGCTGACTGTCAGTATGGCATTTACTCACGACGGAGCAAGAAAATAAAGATTGCTTCTTTGAAATCCCCAAAGCATCCCCTTTCACCGTGCCATTGACTTCAATAGTTTGGCGAAAAAAAAAAGAATGTAAGTCAAGTAACACTAGTGTGAAACAAAATGCAAACACACATTTTTTTTGACGTAAGGATAGACAGATGTGTACAATGCATAGGAGGGTGGTGAAAGTGAACTCTACCTTCCCACCAGTTTTACACACACGTACTGGTGCCCATCAGGGCTGTGTGTTAGCCCCCTTGCTGTACACACTTTATGATGACCATTAACCGACGATTGTGTTGCCACTGATTCATCTAATGTTGTAGTTCAATACGTGGATGATACTGCTATTGTAGGTAGTATGCGTCCTAATAATGACTCCTTTAGTCGCTACATGAACAAACTCTCTAAATCCACTGATTGGAGTGACAAACACTGCCTTAAAATAAAATTCTTAAGACCAAAGAGATGGTAAGAATAATACAGTTGTTGTTCCTACGGTGGACAAAAGGGGACACTCACAGGAAAGATTACAAATACTTGGGCACTATCATTGATGATCAGTTGAAATTTGATAAATGCTCAAAGAGCACATGTAGCAAACTGAACCAAAGACTTCTCTTTTTGAGGAAGTTGAATTCTTTTCGCATTGATAACACTATATTTGACATGTTCTAAAAGACCATTGTGCCAAGTTTGTAATCTTTCAATCTGGTTTGCATATTTGGAAATATGTGTGAGGTAGATAAGTGTAAATTTAGTAGGGTAATCAAACAGGCAGAAAAAAATCACTGGCGTGTGCCAACAGAGTGCAGAGGCACTCTTTTCTACTAAATTGTGCAATATTTATCCGATAATTCCCACCCTCTAAATCCAGAATTTGTCAAAAATAGCAGAGAAGCCCGGCTCATACAGTGAAGAATTTGCACCCAGCGCTACAATAATTCTTTTGTTCCCTCGGCCATTAGAATGTATAATGCCAACTTTTAAAGTTGTAGTGGTTTTTCTTGGTTAACTGTACTTATTTTAATAGGTCTTAGTAATAACACTTTTATTGGTTCTGTTGCTTTTTTTCACTTACTGTAAATGATATTGTCTTGTATTTTTTGTCAAAAGGCCGCATGAATTTCCCCTGGTGAGACAATAAAGTTTTAATCTTATCTCATCTTTAATTAGGATGATATCAGGGTACTCCAAAAACATCAAAAAAGAAAAAGTAAATGGAAACAAAATTAAGGGACTCCTTTAAATCCAGGATGTCGAGTACTAGCCTCCAACATGTATGTCAACTTTAAATCTTTTACTTCTAAAAATAAAAAAAATTCAGCTTTTTAGCCTGTTTCAAGCTAAGGTAATTTCCCCACATGGAAACGTCTCTGATTATGCATTTAAACATTGAACATTGGGCTACACAGATACGCGGCAAACTTTGGGCAAAATGCGAGTTCACTTACCATGAAATGGGGGAGGGGAATAATTCGCCAAGAAAGGTAAAACCGTGGAGAAAATGTGGAGAAACCATGACAGGAATTTTAAATTAAGCCGGCAGTGTTGTAGTCAAGTCCATCACAAGTCTTCCTTCAAACGTCCCTTCACAAGACCAGATGTAAGTACAAGAGAGATGGATGAAAACGGGGCACCTTTGTCAGAGTTCATTTGAATAGACTGTGGCTTGGCTTAAGACTCATGATGGACTTACAGGGACTTGTGATGGACTTGACTTTAACACCGTTAGCTGCGATGTCATATGGCTAGAGCATACACTGAGAAGGAAGGATTATTAGGAGCAAGGCTTTTCATTGCATTCAGGGACAACATGAATCTCTCCAAGACAAAATTAATGCTGTTACTATAAACTCACATCACGCAGGTTGCCACGGAAGTTTTCACCAACACGTGAGCCGCTCAGTGTAGCTGGATTGGGACTTCCTCCAACGTAGAACTCATTGCCGACCGTCAGCCGTCCAAAATTGCCACCCGCTGACCCCGAGGCTAGGAGGCTCCCATCAACACGAACTCTGACCTGTCACATGACCACAGAAGGTTGAATTTGTTATTTACTCCATCCTTCTTGTTTTCTGACCCTTTCACTGTTTCTGTCCAAGACTTCACACTTTACATTTAACCCTAATCCTCCTAAATGTTTTGGAGGATTTTGGAGGATATTGGAAGAATGGCACAAAGTGTGGCTGATTTAGAAGGATGCACTGTATCAAGGCTGTGCGTTGGACCTTGTGTTGTCTGTGCTCAGTCATGCATAAATGCAGGTCTGGATTCTACATAAAAATCATCCATACTGCTCCAAGAAAACAGTGCCACTGCCTCAACACAGCGACCATGAGGAACTACTGCAGGATTTTGAAGGATTAAAACAGTGGGCGCTCCTCAAAGGAGCCTATCTAAGGAATTATTGTAGGATTTCGGAGGATTGAGGCAGAATGCAGTTTTTGCATGCATATTTGGAGAATGTTGATGGATTAAGCAGGTGCCTATGGGTTCGGGTTAATGATGTTAGCCTTCTTAATTGAGAATGTAAAGCTAGTATTTGGGCAAAGCCAGCTGATAACAAACATGTACAAAGAGAACTTATGTGAACAAATAATATAAGAATACGATATTTATTAGGAGAACCAGATTGTTCTGTACTAGATTTACGATGTCAAGTACATGTGCATGCTGCTTTTATAACTAGTGCCCCCCAGCTGTGCTCATTATTCGAGTAAATAAGAAGTTGATGGGACGAAGCAGTATCACATTCCAAACTTTACAACTGTTCCTCTGCATCTTAGCAGATGAAAACAAGAATGAAAAACATCACAGAGCAGCATGTGTAAAAGGTTTCCCTACTCCTGTGAGGCTTTTTGTGTATTAAGCCAGCCTGATAGATTACCCAGCTGATTTCTGCCCGCTGTCCCAAGTTGCCTGACAGAACAAAAACATCCTTCTAGCAAAGAGTCCTGGTTGGTGAAAGCCTAATCGTTTTCATCAGTGGTGCAGGCTGAGAAGCGCTTCATTCCAGCTTCCCTGATAACTTCTGTCTGACCAGTTAAGTGCCCAGTTGTCAAACCAAACACTAGAGTAAGTCCTACATGCAGCTGTGTCTGCTGACTGTCATGTCAGGGTCTTCTTCAAACCTTGCACTTTGTGGATGCTTTTGTAATTCCACACATTAACCCTAACCCTCTTCAATCCTTCACCTGTTGGAGGATTGAGGAGGGTTAGGGTTAAGCAGAGTTTCTTGAAGTTATCCTGAGTCATTCAAATACTTTTTATATGGCCACACAATTATCACTTTGCTTGAAATTTCTGGTTTCTAACACAAAGTTGAATCTAAATTACAACAAAGGCTTATTCTGAAACAAAATGAGCATATATTGACAACACATTTGTACCTTAGGGTTAATTGTTTTAAAAATATAAGACTCCACCACACTTCAGTGCTCCCATCTGACCCTTTTCTAATTACGGATGAAAAAATGCTCTTAACAATGTTTATACTGTTTAAAGATGCTTGTACATGTATGTAAGCCAACACTATTCATGACATATGAACAACTGCATATTATCAACCAGCAAAAACATCGGAGGACAATGACCCCCCCCAAAAAAAGTGAGAGCTCCACCTCTCCTTTATTACCACTATGGCCAACATGTCTTTCAAATACATGTACTTTTCACAACTGCTTTAAAATGTTCTAACAAACCATAGGAGTGCTTATTTTTACTTTTATTTATAGAAGTGTCTGCTTTTTCTTAAATGTACACATGCAGAGTTTTTCTTATCGCCTCAAAAAGCTGTCTTGAATAAATTAAATCTTATTTCCCCAAAATAAAACAAACCGAAAATTCCTCTCATCCTCATTAAAATGCATACATGTATAACTATCTACTGCACTAGTTGTACTGTGTTTGCATGAAATTTGTTTCATGGCAGATCATGTTGAGTATAAAAGCTCTAAAGAGGCCGAGAGCTTTTTTTTCACTCAGTGAAGGTGTGGTCCATGCACCTGGAACGCGATATGTGAATCATGTAGCACTCCTAGTATGGCATTCCAGACAATACTGCTTGGTCGCAGTCATTTTTTACGATGGCCCTTCTTAATGCATGCCTCGTGAATTACTTTCAAGCATCCTGAATTTGGTCCTCACAATGTGACTGGGGCCGATGTAACAATTATTCATTTTTCAATGAACAACAAATTATCAGAAAAATATCGAGCTGGGATGTCCCTTCAGGGCATCCATACTTAAGTGATCCAATCGTCGGCATGTCAGTGTACTGTCCCAATTCAAAGATGATTCTCCGCCAGAACGAGGCGCTTAAAAAGTACCCCCAAAGATTGTTTCCAAAAGAGGGGTCTGTGTGGGGCAAGAAATTGTGGGATTGAGTAAGTACGGCCCAGGATCATCTCTATAGATTAAGGGGCTCCCACGTGGGGGCAAATCAGACAAATATGTTATTGAAAAATTGTCAGAAGAACCTGAGAAGGTGGGGCATGTCGTTTGAAAAATGGCTACTCAGGAGGCTGGGGAACGTTCACTTTTTGGGAGTGAGTTTGTTTTGGGTGAATAATTAAAACATTTATTGGTTAATCTATTAAAATTTGAAAATCAAATGAAATCTGAAGGACCAAACAACACATTGCTTTTTTGTTTGAGAGGCCTCAGGGACTTTGGTTGCCCACAATGGGGCTGTGAACTTTGTTGATTTTACACTGTTTTCAAGGGAGCTTGGATTAGTTCAGTGCACCCATGAAATAATCATTGACTCAGCGCACAGCCGCACTGCCTGAACACCACCTTCTGCCCACAATGACAAGTCTCTGTAACCTCTTGGAAAAAACTCAGACACTTTTCTGCCACCTACCTGCGACATCTGTCAGAACAATCATCTAAACTCTGTTGTTGTGTTTTCCCTGGAAGGTGTCAGCTTATTGAGCTACTCTCAGTAATGGGAAACCCACTAGAGATTTAAGGCCACTTAAAGTCAAAAGAAAATGAGGCAAGAGAGCTAGTTGGCTGTGTAATGTGAAGAACAGATTAAGGGTTTTCTTGACAGAAAGCAGACTACAAGTTTCAGAGAAAGTACGCCATTCAGATATGCACACGTGATACTATTACAACCTCTCTCAGGCTGTGATCTCACATCCATCTCAATTCCCTGGCCAGGTTTGCAAGGAATCTTCCTGAATCTTTCTGAATCCTCCAATGACAAGGACAACAGGTTATGTTCTCTGTCCTTTAGTTGGGAATCACGTCTTACATGAATTATCAAAAGCTGAGCCATACCAGCCTACAAACGGTCCTACAAATCCTATAAAACCTTTGGGAAGATTTTAAAGGATGTAGGATGGTATGCCAGTACAATAACACCAAATGAAAAGGAGTACTTCACAGATTTCAGAAAAGAATCAAAGTGTACTCCACCTTCACAATACACTGTTTTCCTTGTGACTGATTCAGTCTGTAAGGAGGGAATTCCCACATGACCTCCCCCCCTACAGTTCCCTATATGGGGGGGGGGTCTGTATGCAGCAGGCCGACAAGAGCACTTAAGAGCCTCATCTAAATTCCACCTAAACAAGGGACAGTTTATCTCGGAGACAGATGCAAAGCTGAGGGTATTATGCATCACAGAGACAGACAGACATCAACATGCCTCAGAGTCCTGCGTGGCGACTTTATCTTGTCCATCCTGTTTGCTTTAAAGCGGACTTTGCTAATGCATTCGGAAAGAATTTCATGTATGTTATCTGCAATTTTCCCCCTGCACTAATCTTACAAGCCATAACCATCTCTCAAGTGATATATCTGCTGTAAATTCACTCTGTTTGAGATTATATTCATCAAATTCACTTGCCAAAGCCAGCTCATGCTTGGCATAAAAGAAAAGGAAAGGGAAGCGAAGTTCCAAATCTCCTTGCTCTCCCAAGCATCATGCCAGGGATGAGCCAGGCAGAATGCTCTGTCTAGAAACAAACCCAAAATACCCAGATTGTTTTCCAGTCCTACAAAATCTAAGCAGGTCTTCAGGGGCAAATATGACACAAACACAACTCTTCAAATGAATTACGGTGAGGTACAAATACTCCAGCAATTGGATTTTGATTGGCAACGTCTTCTGCATTCCATCAACTGTGTTCAAATGTTTTCACTATTAAGCAGGGTAAGGTCACTTGTCAAATCGCTCGGATTAAGGACCAGCTTTTTGAAATGAGTTATCTCACTCACGTCTCCTCTGGTCCTGGAGATGCGGACTTTGTGCCAGTTGTTGTCCGTGAAGACATCCATCTCCCGTCTGGGCTGAATACTATGCCGGTACTCCCCAGAGCCGAGGTTGATGGCTACCTCCAGAAGGCCGTTGACCAGTGCTACGTAGATGAAGTCCGATTCGTGGCCGACATACAGCAGTAGGCCGTTTGGGTGCTGGGTACGGAAGTCAAAGATCACATCGTCTTGTAGTGTGTTGATCTCCTCCAGGGCTAGACTGTAGCTGATGTACGAGGTGCCGTCAAATGTGGCAGTGATTGCCGTTTCCTCTGTGGGCAAAAAATTAAGCCATCCCAAATTGAACAACTTCAAACCAAAATTATGTTAACTTCCTTTCCTTTACCAACAAAATTTGTTGTATGTAACACAGACTTAACAAGATTACAAAATATCATGAAACTAACTTTTCCAACTGTCAAGTAAGTTCTGCCATTCATGCTTAGAATGGAATCTTAGTTACCTATCACTTTTCTATGTGATACAACTGAACTGGTGAAGTTCAGTGATAAGTGTTACGGTGTTAAAGGCATGCCATGGACTAACAAATGCAAATAGTGATTTTATTGAAGAAAAAAAAAGGCAGATGTAATCATACTGGTCACTAGTCATCCAGTCTCAAGGCAAATCACAAGCTGCGGAAATAAACTGACAAAAAGCATGTCTTTGTCCATCCTGTGGTGAACCTGGTTACAACTTAAACAGGAAACTGTATAGGAACTCATGTTCTGGGGTGTTGTACAAAATTACCAACCCATATCCCCCCCCCATCCCTGCTCTGCCCCCGCCTCCCTCAGTAGAGTACACCGGTGACCACATCGGAACCAATAATTATGCCAAGTACACAAACTCTCGTCATATTACCCCAAGTTCTTGGCTAAATCCATAATTTTATTAATACCATACCACGTATTATTCTGTAAGGAAGCTATCTAAGATGGAAAAAATCTACAGCTGGAAAAATTCAAATCACAGCCAGACGATGCCTTGAGTGCCTGTTTCTGGACATCCTACATGTAAGCCCTACAGGAGGAGGAGAAAAAAACATCTGCCGATATCTTTCTTTTCCCACTGCACCAGCAGCCCGATAGGCGGCCTGTGGCTCTCCATCACCGAGCCAGATGACAGGTTTATCCTTCTAGCTTCTCAAGTAATAACCTAGTGCACCTGCACTCTCCACTCTCATCCCCAATCCCTCTTAAGCTCCGCCCCCTAATGGCCTTGAGAGCTAGAGAGGGAGAGACTTCACAATGTCCTCCTCATGAAACCTGTCTGCCAAAGATGTTCATGGCAGCAATGATTTCTGGAGAGAGAACTTACAAAGGCCAACAAAAAGATGTTCTTTTTTTCCTTTGAAATAAGAGCTGTGAGTACACGTACATGTATATCCTCAGATTTCACTGACAAATCAGGCCACAAAATTTCAAATTATTACCTCACACTATGCCTTGAAAAGCTAACAATTAATCACAGTGACTCACATTTTTAAACTTCGTACTTCAGAGCAATTATTTATCACGTAATATAAAACAATTGGTACATGTAAGTCATCTAGGCCTCAGAACATTCCAAGAGCTGATTTTATTGCTGGACACTGCCCAACCAAAAAAAGACCAGACAGGCATATTGCAACTGATCCCATGAGAATGATTCCAATGACCATTACTGACACACTGTTTAGGGACAAAATGAATTGAATATGAAAGCCCTTTTTTCGCTTGCTTCTTTTAAAAAGTGATGAACTCATTTTTTGATGACGATACCTTCAGTTGGATATTTTGATTACAGTTTGGTAACCACAGAATCAATTTCCACATTTAAGGACAACATTCGGCATCAGGATATAGGGTAATTCATAACTGATCAATGCACTTCTGCGAATCTTCTGGAAAATGACGCTACCACGGCGACAAATGGCATGGGTTGGACATGCCGGAGCCACAGCGGACAGCCATTCTGGCTATAAATACCAGATGCATATACATCAGCTTCAGGAAATGTGTTCATGTGTGCACAAGAAATTACTATCGATCATCAGCCAATGAGAAGAGCAATGCCTCAATATACATGTACCAGCTCCTCCAAAGCTCAAACCACATGCTTTTTTATTTGAACTATCGTAGACATGGAGATGGAACCTGGATATTTTTGTTGATGATGAACACCAAAAAAAATCATCCATCACTGTCAGCATTTCTGATTCCCCCTTCTAAATATTTGTACAACCTTTTCCTTTAACCCAAACGGAAACAAAAATTTCCCACTACCTCTAAACATCTGCAGGAAAGGCATGTTTCTCAAATGCAAAGACACAAGTGTCAATTTCTGACAGTCGTACAGAAAAAAGAGGGAGGGTGGGTCTGACAGGAGACAACTAGTTGTCCACCTTTCTGCCACTTGACAAAAATCAAATTGGCAAGACACACAATCAAAGAATGGATTGACAATCTGAGTTTTTCAATTTTTTAAAGCTGGGTAATCCAATCATATTTCAGTGAACTGCATGTATCCCCTCATATGGCCCATTGTTATGTAAAAATAATGTTAAATTAAGCAAGAACAGAACAGGAAACAGATATACCTAAAATGATCTCTAAGTAAAAAGCAAAATATCAGATACTATCTGACACACTGACCAACTCTGCATAAGCATATTACCTCAGCCAGTTTAGTATTCCAACAACACATGCCTAAAATGAAGTGCGTCATTTGGAAACAGTGTAAATGCACACGAGGCCTGCTTTATCAGCACGCCATATGCCAACTTCCACTTGTACTTTTCAAAATACTGAACTGGCTCATTATGTGGTTTGCTAAACACAGATTTAAGTACATGTTTAAAACCAAAACACTCCTTTTTCCACAGGCAAATGCTCAAAGCAACTTCCATACTCCAAATGGTTGTGTACGCGGTCATAAATTATTTTCTCTTTTCCTAGAATTTGCATCTATACAGATTATCAAACTATCAAACCATAGAAGAACCAAGTCTCCATCATCACCGCTTTGAAGTAATTTCTATTTCAATCTCCAATCATATTCTTTCAGTTTCTTATAAATCCAACATCTTCCATTCTACCACTCTGCAGTAAAACAATGGCAGTTCTCATAACTGCAAGCCTCTACACACCATACACTGTCTGCCTTGGTAGGCCTTCCCCTTGTTAGGGAGACAATTTCTTTTGTTAGGACAGTTTGAATTCCTTCACAAGACAAAAAATGTCCACGTATCATTCTTGTCTACGTTACATCAAAATTTACAGTCATTCATAGTGCTCATAACCCAGTAACGGGTATGCACTAACCTTACGTACCTTGTGTGGACTTGTGAACAAAAGATGTCCACATGATGCAGGAAGAAATGACGTTCTGTGTGTTTACATGTAACTTAGGCTTCAGTGTAAAAGCATATTGGCAGCATTCAAAGCATCGACAAGAAACGCCATTCCTTAGGGAAATGTAAAGATGGCTGGCAGTCATAAATCCCTAAACCCATGGAAAATACTGGCAAACCTAGTGTTATAGCGAAACATGCTGCTTGCTGTATGGTCAACCACTTGATAGGCAAACCTGACTGACAGCAAGAAGTGGAAACCTGCACCCAAACATGTGTACGTCCTTGTTGACTTACTGCAACGCTTTCACATCCTACGTGAGAGTATTCCATAATATGATAATAAACACACAAATTCCTGGGCAACTCATCTCTCTTCGCGATCAAATATCGCATGGCTATATTGCCAGGACTAATGTTCGCCATAATGGATAACAGGAGGCTAAATGATAACGAGGCAGAGTAATAGGGGTTTTGAGAAGATCCTGGTGGGTCCCAGATGTCTGTTATATGACCAAAGAGAGAGAAGAGTTCCCCCCCCCCGACGATTTCAGTAATAATGCCATACTTGTGTACTTGGCATGAGGGGACCGCTCTTTGAGGATACCATAGAAACCATTTATCTCCTTTATTCACTGCAATTATGATCATTCTGGCATGTTATTGCTTTTTTCCTCTCGTCCCAAAAAATTCACCAGTCCACTATTGGGGAAAAGGAGAAAATACACACATACTTCTACTTGATGTTTAAAAGCAGCCCTTGTTTGCAATTTCCATTTTGATTCAACTTTTTTCAATGTAACCGTTCGAAAGAATTATGGTAAATCGTCACTTTATCTAGCGTTGTTAACCGGAGGTATGTGTATTAAACAACTCAAACAATTTTTCATTGAGTGCCTGCTGGGGTTTGAGGCTGCTCAAGAACACACGTCAAAAGTTCCCCAGGCTGGGTTCCAACTTGAAGTGAAAGACACAGCCATCCTAAGATGGGCACAATCAATTATCACTTAACCTTCAGGTTTCCCAGAATAGTTTTGGCATTGATCTAGTCAAGCAATAACCTCGATCCAAGCATGCCTCAATTACAATCAATCAATTATTAACAGCACTTCAGCAAAACAACAAAAATAATTCATCCACAAGACTGACTACAAGAATAAAGACTACCACAATTGTCGCTTTTCTATCAGTCATGCGAGGGAAATACAAAGTTCTCAATAGGAATCGAAACTACAACCTAAGAAAGCTTTGCTTATCTGAACACTGCAGCACAAGTGCAGTTTGTCTTTTATTTCATATTCCTGCAAGTTAATGGCTTCCCATCTGAAACATTATAGTCTTAAGATTGTTCAGCATGCCGCTCTTATCCAAGAGAGGTCTCTCTATTCCTTTCACATTGATTAAGCCAGGAATGTTTGCACAATGAAAATGGATTGTATAATGAATCACATGTTGACATTCTGAGGGAGGCCAGTTTATGAATCACACTGCACTGGACATTGATTTCCGCTAAGCTAATAGGCACCGTCTGTCTGGGCTGCATTTGATTTTTTTTTTATTCTCAGTCTTTTTTCCTACCGGCATGAATATTGATTCACACAGAATGAATGATTCATGACAGCGATTAATAATTGGTGACAATATTCCTTCAGTCCCAATCTCTACCTTCTAAACATAATTTTAGACATTTTTTTTTCTCATTCATTTATCGTATACAAAATGTAAAGCTCCAATTTGACCATACTGGAGTGACCTCTGTAGTTACTCAGAAAATGCATAACATAAAGGAAACAAATTGTGAATGTGCATAACTGGAGAAAAAATAATCAGGCTCCAAATTGACCTGTTGTTGAAACTCAACATTCTAATCACTAATGAACTCTATCCATCTACACCTTAGATGAAAAGGGCATTCCTTTGCCATAGCAAACAAGTTCATTTCCTCTTCTACGTACAGCAAAGGCTGACCATGCACATTCATTCGTTATGCAGCTAAGTCATGAGGAATGCACTGTGCCATATGCAGTGTGGAGGAACTTGGCTCTTTGACAACTGAAAGACAGAAATTTGTATCCAGAAAGAAGAAAAAGTGATCCCACTCCTGTTTGAGTTTCACCTCCATCTGGGGTGCCCCTTGATCCCACTCCTGTTTGAGTTTCACCTCCATCTGGGGTGCCCCTTGATCCCACTCCTGTTTGAGTTTCACCTCCATCTGGGGTGCCCCTTGATCCCACTCCTGTTTGAGTTTCACCTCCATCTGGGGTACCCCTTCCCTTTCATAAAGGATGTCATCGAATTTTGTATTCTTAAGGTGTCCTGACACTAGGATAATCTTATGCTCATATTGAGGTACCAACTGGAACAACGGCTTCGTAAACTGTTTTTCATTTTCATTACAACAATTCCGTCCCAGTTCATTCAGACATGAAATACAGCTGTGTCGAGGATCACTTGTGAGGAACGTTAGCAATCCAGGTACAACTGATCTTCCTTCATAACTCTCCAATATTGCAGTGAGCATTCAGAATGATAAGTGTGATACTTAGTCAAAGAATGCAAGGCCTGGTTAGGTTTCAAGTTCAACACCAAATATTTGCTTGCCAAGCCTTTCAAGAGAATGTTCCTCTCAGAATACACAATCTATGCGATGCAATAAAAAAGATCTCTGGGGAGTTTTGTTTCATGTAATGTGTGGGCTTCTAAAGACTGGAGAACGTCAAGGCGTGGGAAGGTTACCTATACAAGTAGGTGACAGCAGGTCTACCGATTTCTTACCAAACAAATGCTGGATTTTTATGATCGATGCATTGCTCTTGTCTAACAGTCGGTGGTTCTTGAATTATGCGATGTCCCCCTCCTGTGACATTTGATTGTTTTTCCTTCCTGTTTGATTTAATCTCAATGAATTATTCAGACACTGGGAAGGAACATCGCCGTCTGGAGAATGTTTATTTGGATCACGTCGTGTAATTTATCAGGATCACGCATTCCGGCATGGCTCAGGAGACAGTTTGCAATAATTACCGGAGGGAGACATCCATGAAAATAAAGAAATACGAGATGGCTGGGCACTTCTGCTGAATTAACCTTTCACACTCATTTTGGAAAACTTATATTGGGATAAATAAAGGAGATACTGGAGAAGAATTTCAACAAAGAGCTTCTGGAGATTGAAGTTTACAATAATTACCCTTGAAAGCAAATTGACAACCTGACCAGTAAACTACGTATTCAATAATCTTTTCTTTAAGTTAATTTATTTTTTTAATTCGTTAATTTTTCGGCATTTTCTGACTGAAAAAAGGAGTGTAATTTTTCTTCATCCAATGATTATAAAGATATGACATCAAAGATGAATAGATATATTTTCCTTTGACATGAGGAGCTTTTGAAAAAGAAAACTGTGCCTGTGGTCAACCGGCAGTTCACAGATTAATTCAATTTAAAGAACTTAGTGGGTGTTTATTCATAAGCTAGCTGCAAGTCTTATTCCTTCCGTGGAGTGTTGAAACCGTTCTAATCAATGGTATTCCATTTGAACTCTGCACAGTGCCCCATGTGCACATATCGTTCCACATATCGGCGTGTCTGAATAGATATTTCCTAGGCGCTGGGTGATTAATTTACGCATAGTGGGTTTTCTCCCCCTCGTCTTCTCTCCCTCGTGCGATGTCATCAGTAATCATCTTGAGTTGTAAGCGTTTAGTGCCAGTAAATGATATTAGGCAGGAGTGCCAGTGCTCTCATCCGCAAAGCTCAACCGTTCAAAAAAATAGACCAAAAAAGGGAAACTGGGACACCTTGTTATACCCTGGTACATACATTACATCTCTGCAATGCGTTGTCTATTGTATTAGAAACCTAACACACATTGAACTCTTAACAACTGTGCCATTAACCCATGCATATATAAAAATTTTAACGCATTCATACAAGAATTCAATTCAATGTTTCAGTTATTTGCTAAGAAACTTCTACAAATGATTACTACCGGTACGTGTATCTCTCATACTGTTGAACAATCTTGGATATTCTGAGATTTGAGGTTAGCTTTCATCTTAAAAGAAACCAATTACCTTTCCATTTTTTCCCCTTTTTCTCTTTGTCACACTGGCCATGACAAATATATCTTGCTAGTCCACAAATATCAACCTAATAAGCAAATAGGTCTATAATTTGGGTGAAGGTAGAGAATTGATCTTTGCCAAAAATTTAGATATTGTCCATTTGAATATGGTGAGTTGCAGTAAAGTGTCGGTTTACATTGTGCTTCCACTGAAAGAAGACAAGAGCCCGGACAAGCCAAATTGGCAAAGATAAATCATTTTGAGAGTTAAATTCAAACCACTGTATACAGTTTCCTCAGTCTGATATTGATTGTGGAGACACGGAAGCCCTGGCCGTGAATTTGGGACAATAACACAGGAAAGGATCCCGTTTCTTGGCGACTCGCCGGCTCTCGCCGGTCCATCACGTACAGGAAATTAAATTCAAGCATATGATTCGGAACAATTTTTCTTTTCCAAATTGATCGAGTGGCTCTCCACTGGTCAGCACTGATTTCACACGCATTCGTCCCTCGAGAAAGGTCTATCTCTACTTCCAAACATCCCTGAAAGATGTGAGAGTTTTAATAACATCTCTGTCTTGCTCCATGATCAGTGACAAGACCCTTCACCACCTATGGTGGTACTGGCGCCCTACCTGTCCTCTGTACAGGATTAAGTTCACTAGTAACGTAGCCAGTGAATTTATCACTTAATTCAGTGGACAATTTGTTTCCCCTACTGGTCCTTTCTCAAATAAGCTAAAATACAAATGGCTGTTAGCCTGAAGGCAAAAGAATAATTTTCGAAGTATTAAAAATAAAACAAATAAATGCCGCTAAATGAAAATACCTCCCTTTTTAACACAAATGGGCAAATGTGTATTTTGAAGCTAAATTTGTTCCCAAACACAATCCATTTAAATAGCAGACAATAAGAGAAGGGTCTATTGAGGGGAAAAAAGCAATTAAGTTGGTACTAAACAAGATTTCATTGCCAAAACTTCTGTCATTCTCTCCATAAAAATCCCTGTCATGGTGTTTCTGCAAAGAAAACTGCATTAGACCTCGGCTGCAAGTGAAAGCATTATGATCCTACCTAATCTTGTACGTAAAACACTCCAAAAGAGTTATGGTCTGTTTTGCCAAAAATAGGAAAGAATTCATCAAGACAAGTTTCAAAGTCTGTGCTAATCATTAACCCCACAATAAAAGAAACTTACAAGAAACTACAGAAGCAAGTGAAAACAGAGAAGAAAATTCTGAGCTGCACAAGACTGTAGACAGAGATTTTTCTATGTCTCTTCTTTTGGTGTCCATTTTGTTGTTCCTGTGGCACATGCTGGCAAATATTGCCCAAAACTGCATTAATAACTTAATCAAGCTCTCGCAGCTGACTGAATCTGCACCACCCAAAGACATATTTCTTATCCTGCCCTAACCGCCGACAACGCTCAGAAGAGACCCTCCAGGAGAGATCAATAAGAAATCTTTTATCGCACGCTCCAGCAGAGCGGAGCCAGGCCTGGAACGAACTCCGATGCGCTGCCGTCGAGTGCCGCCATGAATATTTCAAAAGATTACTTCAAAGACGCCACTCTCTCCTTCTTTTCCTCCGATGGTGAACACTTCATGATGAACCTTGTCGATGTGGTGTCAGCCTAACCACAGGCCAGGAAACGTTGAATGACAACCAAGCCCAAAAAAATCCCACCTCTGACAGGAGGAAGGGGTAACATTTAATCCCCCCAGGAGATATACAGGGCCTGAATTGCCAAACAAACATTTAATCAACACCGGGTATGAAAAATGCAAAAGGGAAAATTAATTACTGTAATATCAGGTGAAAAATGATATGACTGAAAACTATCAATGTAAAGTAAATCATACACAAGTTTCACAAAGTGTTTGAACCCCCATGTTAGCTTTGAACCATTTCAACAATTCTAATATCAGATTTAATGGAAGACAGAGAGAACAGTTACTCAAAGCAAAGCTGTGAAACCAAACATGATGAGTATTACACCTGTACTAGATGATACCGGTAGCTACCAATGGCTGGAAATTATTGATTAGGCACACTACACAGACGATAAACAAATGAGTGAAATTTATTACTTTTCGTGAACCTTAAAAATGATAACTCTTAATTGACACACTACAAAAGAAATGTTACTAACCTCTCTCTTCTGGAACTGTTGTCATAGAAACAGTGGGATAGAAAGGGAAAAGAAACAACATTCGTCATTCATCATTGATACACTGCAGCAAATTGGATTCAAGACTGATGGAACAGGTTTCAGGATTATGAATATCGGACGTCTCTGGGGGAGGTGATGATAAATTGAGTGAGGGGAGGGAGTGAGCATGTGTAGGTACAAGTGGCAATGCATGAAGCGTGGAGCAGTGTTCGTCGCTTGTCGTGCAGGGGAGCTACGATATATCCAACTTTGTTTTCAGGAATGATGAGTTTCAGTGGGTATTTTTCATAAACTGGCATCTCAATTTCAAAGACCTTAAATTACAAGCTGGTATACATGTATGTGGCAAATCTCTAAAATACTTTGGATTTGGGAAATCATATTTAAACTCACAAAAACACCTGTTGAAAATCGGTGCTCAGGGTTTAATTTCTTTTTTTACTGAAAGATAGAAACTGTCTTGAAATAGAGGTGCTGTGCATCACGAGTACGGTACATAAAAAAAATGATTGACACTGTACTGACACTGTTGATCTCTGGCCAAGATTTCTCCAGCTGGTTACACCAAAACTTGCAAAGATTTTGACAATCAACTTGGTCTGTAGAACATGCCATGATTTGTTCTTTAAGAAGCTGTGCAGCAAGTTACAGCTGATGTTGGTAAGAAAGAATGGGTGATTAGTTTAAATATGATTTCCTTTTTATCAATACTTAAGTTACAATACTCAAAGCACCAAAAAGTCACAAATGCATTTACCTTGTAAAAGGGAACGTAGAACAAATAAGAATAAAAGCAGTTCAGGAAAAATGAATAACTTAGAAGACAACTGAAAGGTACTTGAATTGTTCACAAGCATTGAAAACATAACCTGAAACATACTTGTAGTAGAAAACCTTTTTTTATAAATCCTTACCGTTAAACAAAACTAACAAAAACAGGAAAATAAACTTACGTGTAAAAGGGTAAAATGGAAAACTTTGAGACCAAGTCAGGGAAACATTACGGACAAATAAATATAGGGAAAAAACCAATTAGCAGTACTTAACACTTCCATAGACATCATGCAACATGCAAGAGTGTTAGTCACACAGTTGAACATTTAGTATACCAACACCAGGGAACAAAAACTTGACAATATGTATAAATTTAAAACAATAAGTGACTTTATATCAACGGATAATGGATTACTCCCCTTATAAAGTTAAAACTAAACAATAACATAATACATGTAACAAATATTAAGTATATCAGGGAGGGAATCTGGAGACACATTCAAATTAAGAATCTCCTAATGGTACACAGTACTGGCAGAAATATACAAAAATACAATTTAAAACTCCTTCAGGGGTAAAACAAATGTTCAAGGGAGAAACAGAAGTAGCCTTAAATAATGCAAGCAGAGACAAAGCCACATTATTTGTTGAGCAATATGTGAAAGGCTGAGGAATTCTTAGCTATTTATTATCTGGAAAATGACACTAATATACATATGAATGATATAAATGCTACAACTTTTATTGCCAATTAGTACCAAAGCTTTCTGCAGACAAAATTTGCTCTATGACAGATCACTTCAGTATGAAAAATAACAGTAGAGGGAAAAATCGTTCAACATGAAAATTATATATGCACCTACACGTACTTCAGCCAGGTTTTGGAATGGTGGATATTACACTGTATTACCAGCCAAAACTAGTACAATTTATGTCATATTTCGGTCAGTAACCCATCACTCATCTAAATATTTCAACTTGGCAGCTTCTGAAATTATATATATGTAGTTTCAGATTGAAAACATAGTCTCCATCGCTGTGGACCCTGTACTTTCCATCAACCACCCCCAAACTCAACAAATATAACTTCCAAACCAAATTTAATCACCGAGTGTCCAAACAGAAGTGCAAGAATATCAATTATGGGGCTTCCCTCTGAAAACACACCGTCCAGTCCATAACTCAATTTATGTTCCCGGCGAATTGGCCGTCCGTTGTGGGTTGTCCCGCTGCCCCTGTTGCCAGGTTCCTTGCCCAAGCAGCTGGGCTGACAAATGGTGGTGGTGTGGTTGCAACACAATTTCCAGCTCAACCAGAAGGGAAGTACAGTCACTAGCATCCCACTTCCAATAAGGCGGGAGAAAAACTTGTCATTTCACAAAATTGAATAACACCATACTATTTTTGCTTTTGGGGAGGCGCTGTTTTTGTTTTATTTTGTGAAGATGAAGGTTCTTACATGTGTGGTTTCCCAATACTCAAACTACATGTAATGTGCATGTACCGGGAAAAAACGGTAAGCCTGTGAAATCATCTGTATGTTGAAGTTTCAGGTGTCGCCTTTTTGCACAAGGTATCCAACTTTGACGTTAGGCCTACACTTTCAGCTTTGTAATTCTACAAAATATTTGCGTTAGCCCCAGGATGGACACATGGCGAGGAATTTGACACGCGAGCAACCCGTGGGGAAAGGACATTGTGTGACTGTGCCAAAGCTGGAGCCATGGACAGCTGTTCGGTTCCGACGACGTACGAGATCGATTCCAAATTAGCTCCTGTTAACAGATTACCCCTTCCCTATTCCAACTGGGCAGTAAATTACAGTGATTGTAAGAAAACCAAAAATCCGAATCTTGCCAGTAAACCTACATGTAAATGAAGAAATGTTCCTAGTGACCATTTGACCAAAATTTGACCGTAACACTTTCTCAGTAACAAATAAACCTCACCAATTCTACCTTAAGCTAGATTCTAAAACATTTTCCTGTGATGTACAATTTTACTGGTGTTTGTGTAATTTATAACTGGGCCCAACAACCCTCAATTAATCCGTTTTCTCATTGGAAAAATTTAGCAATTCAGGAAATGTGGGTATTCGACTACAGATCGATTTAAGGAGATGAATAATTAATGCATTTTGCATTTTTAACATTGAAAACTCAAACCAACAATAATTATACGTGTGCATTACTTTTATTTTGAGGAATTTAGCACAATTAGCACTAGGAACTATTTGAATTTCTTCCAGATGCTGTATACTTCAAGAAATGTCTTTCTTAAGTATTTACTGTAGGTTTGTACAATTAACTTCAAAATGATTCAAAGTATGGGCGTTTATTCCAAAGGAACTAACAATAGAAATAAACACACTTTTATAAAGTCACCAAGGTACATGTATAAGATAAGACGTACAACTGACCAAAAAATGCCTCAGCAACCATTTTCCTGAAGCAAATTTGGCCGGACTGGAGGAATCATGATTACAATTGCCATTCTCTACATGTCTTTTTATTACAAAGCAAGTTTTGTATGAGAAAATCAAGAAGCAAAACTTGTATACTGTACACACAGGGTCATTTTAATATAAACAAACCAAAAATACACTTGTGGCCATGTCATTCTGCAAAAGGGTTGCTGTTTTTGATTTACACGGTAACACTTCCATTTTTGTTATTTACACTTTATGACATCTGTAAGAAGTTAGTTTAACAAAAGAACAGAAAAAAAACATCAAAAAAAGGTAAACTTGAAACAAACAAAGGTGTGACAGCATGATGAAAATAAAAGGCAATATCAGGCTTGAAAGATGGAGTTTTATATCAATGGCTGATGTTGAATAGGAAACAGTTGGAATGGTTAGGACAAAAAGTTCAAAGGTCAGAGGTTACGATGACAATGTGGCATGACACTTTGAAACTTTGGACCCTTGGACCAGAGGCAATGGACCAAAGTGTGAAGACAACCTACCTTCATCAGATTGCGATTGAGGTGCAGGCGTAAATTCTAATGTGGCATGGAAAAACAGAGGAACAATACTGAGATATGACGCGTGTTGATGAGTTGATTGGAGAGGGTTGAATTCCAGGAAAAAATGACTACAAAAATTACGTCATAAAGACAAATCGGGGTTATTATTCATGAGGAACTTTCAACTCTTGACCAATCTAAAATGTAGTAAATTCACTTGTTTTGAATTACGCTAGTTAGCGGAGTGCTGGCCATCTCGGGGGTTTTAGCTCAGAGCCATTCATATCAGCTCAACGGGCATTTAGCCATTCAATTAACATACTGCCAGTGAACATGCACACTAATGCAAACAAGCGCCAAAAACATCTTGTGCATTGATGTGTTTTTTCTTACATTTCCAAGCATTCCATTCTGCATTAACATGCATAATAACAAGGCTGAACACAATAATCTCTCACTGAAAATGCAATGAGCTACATTTGCTCAAATTTCTTTTATAAAAGAAATTTTCAGTAATAACCAAACGCGACAAAATTATCATATTTCATAACAAACATCTCACATGCAGTTTACAAGGCCAGAATACAAACATCACAGACATGCGACCCATGCATTTCTGGAGCCAAATTAAATTAGACTGCTTTGTCCCAAAATGAAGTATTGTGCTCATTGTCTACAATTCAATCAGTCAAATGCGCAATTCCATACCAGGCAGCTGTTTCCATGCAACAACACAGAAAAAAAAAAACAAGTCAACACCGACAGAGACAATCCACGGAAAACATGATGTCAGTGAAAAGAATGAATAAAATGGGATATCACTGGAAAAAAAGCAATATGTACCAAACCCCCATCCCTTGAAAAGTCTGAATTGTTGACATCAAAAAGGTTGAACACGGACAAAGTTTTGTATTGGTACTAGGCATGCATTTTGTTTCCTGTTCTTTTTTCCTCCATTGGTTTCCAAATATAGACTAATACATTACATGTACATGTATCTCTTTTATCTTTGTGAACATGTCCAAATCACTTTGGGGTCTTGAATTTTTTGTGTCTAAATTTCCCAATGGAATTCTATGTAAAAATTCAGTGCCGCGTAGCATCACAGTGCCAAAACTGACAGCATCACAGCAAAACCTAAAAAAAAAAAAAAGATTCACCCAAACAACTTTTCCCCAGCCCATTTCAAACATTGATCTGCATTCACACAAAATTAAACATGCAGGCAAATGCACACTAACAACGAAACACACATTCAACAATGATAAAAGTTCCAACAATACTAAATGCAAACCATGTGTGAAAAATTTGGCAGAAAAAAACCAAAAACACACGATGCTTTGATTGATGCATACAGTTTCACAATGACGGTCACATGTAACTCTTGCACACCCAACACTCTACACATTTCTGATTCTCTCTCATGTTTCCAGCAATTCTTCAATATCATTACAACCAGCTCAGATACACTCGTTTCAGATATCCAGTCATCATCATATTGGTTAAGGCAAGAAAAATAAACTTTGTTTACATATACATGTAGGGGGCCACTTTTTAATGAGAGGAAAAGGAACAGCAAGCAGTGAGAGCTGTAGAGCACACGTACAATTCTTACATGTGGTAAAATGCGTGACTGAAGCACAGGTACAAACAGATTTGCTGATTGCTTTGTCAACTATGTGACACTTTACTTCAAATTTAGTATTTTCTGGTGGAGAAAAATTGCATTCACCAAAACTGAACATATTTTAAAGCAACGTGGCTCAAATGTCTGGACAAATCCTGGCATCTACAGCCATTTTTTAGGAAAAAGGCCATGAAATTATGTTCCTTTGAATGAATTAGGTTCGTGGAAAAAATTGATGGGATTTCAAGCTGGTACATACATGTATAGTACATTCAGATGATGAGAATTTGAACTTGATTCCCTTAGTTTTTGAAGTACTTAATTCCTCGCTATTCCAAAAATTTCATCCATGCATGGTTCATATGATGCAGTAGATACAGGCACACTGTGGGTGCATCTACCAACATGCACAGGTTTAAATTTACCGAACTTCGGTAATAAGAACTATTGCCCGCTCTGGCAATGCCCCCCCCAAAAGCCAGCAGCCAAATGACTTTGCTGACCCTTTTGCCTACATGTACATGTAGATAACATGTGTTTTCCTGTAAACTGTGGTCTTAAATGCTGCGTGCAACCCCACGCTTTGGCGATTAATTGGGACCAGTCCGGACTTGGCACACTTAAATGAACAGCTTGTCACTTTGCATAGCGGGCTGGGCTTTCGTCTGGCGATAGGGCTAACACACCTGCCATGATCGATTGGACATTAAGCCGTTGTATTCTCGGCAGTCCAGGAAGTCCTGTTGGGTTACACAGTGCAGGTGAACAGATGAACAGGTGTGGAGTCAGGATGAGAACCTGCCTACACCCTGCCCCCCTCCCCCGCCCCATTTTCTTCTCCGGCAGAATTCCAAGAAATGTTTCCGAGAGACCAAATTTGCTGTGCTGACGATGCTGGAAGCAAGCCACACAGGTTTGTGTCTATGTGCATACTCCCCAGAACAGTTTTTTTCCCCTTCATTCAAACAGACACCGTCCGAATGCCAAGATTCAACACTCAGTCCTTCCTCCTCAAACACTTTTGCTCATTTTTGGTGTTGAGAACCAAACTCAAGCCTACTTTAATGGTCATCTAAAGCCTGACAATCCCTTCAATCTACCATCAACTGACTCCCCCAGCAAATAAAAGCCCGTAAAATCAGCTGTTGCTGACAGACAAGACTGAAATGATCCAAAACAGCACCCACCAAATCACAGTCAGACCTTTCTTTATTTCCACAGGTCTAAATTCCACACGTGATCTTAAGCTCCAATCGGCAGGTCCCCATCCCAAAAAATTAAAAAGTGGAACTCTCTCCTCGTTTGTTCTCTCGTTTTTTTCTCTCCAGAGGGACTGGCTATGTCAATTTACCTTTCTCCAGTTCCCCCCCCGAATGTTTTGCGGCCTCAGTGGCGGAGTGACGTTGGATGAAGGTGACAGATAATGAGAGATGCGGAACATCTTAGAGAATGCAGCAATGAAGCAATCGGAGGCCATCCTCGAGGGGATCCGAGAGGAAATAATTTTTTTTTTTGCCTTTTGCCTTTGGAGCTTTCTTATGCCTCCCCCCAACAGGGAGAGGAAGAGAATCTCTAAATATTCACTGACATTCTGTGCCTTTGGGAAACATGCATCCCAGGTGCATGCAAGCTCCTCTAAATTCTCACTTGATCATGAAGTGCCTTCCCCAAGCAAAGCAAAAAAAAAAAAAAAAAGGATTATCAATTGACACTCTTCTCTGACCATTTCTAATGCACGCATGTCTAAAATGTATTCCTGTCAGCCCAAAACTGCAACTGAAATCAAACGAAAAAAAAGTCAAAATGATTAAAACGGCAACGTTGCACATACACATTGCCAGAGATGCTACCAGCATCCACCAGCAAATCATTTCCGTAACCTTGGATCAACTACTTAATATCAAACCGGACACACAATTATTTTCACAAATATTGGTAGTATTTTCTTATGACTTTATAGTCAGTTTTACAATGTACACCATGATGTTTATAATCTTTGTTTATACCAGTAGTATACCATTCCCACTGTCATCATCGTCTTCACAGGAATCACTCTATATACCGTAATCACCACAAAAGCTCACACAAGTAGTCGCGTACATTCCCACAATACCACACAACCATCAAACGAGACTATAATTTCTCCAAGACAGAAACTGGACTGTGGTCTGCCGACTTCTCACATTGGAGTCATTTTTCACTCCCTTTATACACATGTACTTCCATGCAGCCACAAGCTCGCGCGGCATGCAGTGCCTAATGAGCTGCATCTTACCGGATATTGGACATTGGTCATTTCCAGAGAGATGGCTTCATAGCTGCAGTGTGGCACGCTCGTTACCCTGACGCTGCCTTGATTGATTCTCAGCACTCATTTACATACACGTAGAACCATCTCCAGATCACGTTCTGACTCTTGATAAGTTCACAAAGCAAAGATCATCACGGCAAGCTGTTGGAATATTCACCTGTATTCCAGTACAGTACAGTATACATGTACATGCACATGTACCTGTAATTTCCGAGGACCCCAGATTTTTATACCAAATAGCTAATCATTATTGTCTATTGAGCAGAAACTTCAGCTCCAGGTTTAAAGTCAAATCTCAATCATTATTAAGTTGTGCAGGTTGTAAATCAAGTGTCATTGCCTTATAATTCAGTATATTCAACAGTGCTGCAGTTAAATATATGTACATGTATACGTCAGTAAGAACACTGTTGAGCTACACGCACCTGTATGTGCATGCAATATACTCCTGCACATAGGCACAGTCGCGGCTTTTTCTTATTCACATAGGCAAAGGGAGTGCTTCAGATTCAAGTAATGGAAAGAATAATTTCATAGATATGTGAGGGATTGAAGAACGCTCCATTCCATTTGGCTTCACCTCAAAGAACAGAGCAGGTCATCTCATTGAATTAAGTTGAGTCCTGACGGTCACCATACTCGTTAAGTCCGTACAGGCACCACTCACACTGTCTCGAATCACAAGCTACTCAAATGAAATGAGACAAAGGCTCACCTTTGCCACTGCCCATTCCCCCGTTAATAGTGACTAGACTTTTGACTTATTATACAAGGGTAGATTAGCTCCTTACTGGACTATAACTCGGTTAATAATAGCTTGATACTAATAACCTCAGCGTGCAAGAAGTAAATATGCCTTGGACTGATCCAAATTGAGGCAAAATATGCCACAACATACATGTAATTGTTACTAGACATATCCATGGCTCCCAAAATAGTGGACAGAAGGTGACAGCTCCAAAGTCTCAAAGAAGCTAAGACTGTAACACCAGTAAGCCTTCAACAAATTGTGGGAATAACGTCTTTTGTGAGGAAAGTCAAGACTGAGTTGTGGGGACACATTTCTTCCCGTAACACTTGGTCTCCAAAACATCCATT